TTTGTCTACTCAAGTAAGACCTCTTTATTTGAGGGAGTAATGGAAAAGACACTCACACTCTCTTGATGGTTTCCTCCTGAACTTTTCTTTATTCTTCTTCTGTATTCTGCTCTATATTTTTCCTCTACAGCTTATATGCCCTCAACAAAATCTGTCAGGCAGTATAAAAATTACAATGTGGTTACATTCTATTTTTCAAGTGAATGATTATAATGATTATAAGTTTTAAAAAACCAAGTTTTTCATTTCCCTTACATGATTAAAATAAAGTTATTCCAAGAACCCACATACATTTACATCTAAGTAACTTGTTATAGATTAACAGGATGTGAGCAAGCAAGGCATTTTTCTTGGTCAGTTATTTTATCAGCAGGCTGTATATAGTGGTTACAAAGAATCATCACTTTATTACTTACCTTGAAAGGTAATCTTATAAGGAATCTCAAAAGAATCACAAACCTATACTTTTATAAACAGCTCTATTTTAAATCCTCAGGGTATATACCTACTCATCAATAATTTCTTATATCAGAAAGTTGAGGGCAGAAATGGGCACAAGGAATTCATTATCATCTTTGATCACCAACCAATCCTGGCAAGAAAAACACGTCAGCTAATAATTGGGCTGCTTTGTTTTTGTTCTCTGACCTTAATGTGTCCCTCACTTAGCTATGTGCCTTTTTAAAACTTTAGATTGTCTTCTTGGGCTTTTCACCTTAAAGCTATTTGACAAAAACATCTTAGTCTAACCTTACTTTCAGAGCTTTGTTTCAGCTATGATGCACTCTGAAACCTGTAACCAAGCTCCCAACAGGAAGAATTCAAGCTCCCTGTGCTACTGAGTCTCAATTGTTTTTCCTAATCATTAACCTAAGCCATAGTCAATAGAAACTCATGTGTTCTAGCTGTGTGACACTTCCTTTTTTATTTTTTATTCTCTGCAGCCTCTGCTTTATCAGAGGCAGGGGCAACATTTTATCCTACCTTACCCTATGCTAATTTTTCATAAAACTAACCTCTGTCATAGTTCCTTACTATACTTATTAAAAACCCCCAATCATCAAAATCCTATTTTAACCAACACTACTGTTATATAAAATCATTGCTTCAGTTAATCGGTACATGTTAGGAGGAAATTATCTTCATAATAATACACAGGTAAAAATGCCCAATAGAATGGGCTATTTCCAAGAGATGGTCATACTGCATTAAGAACAGTGGGGATCTCCCCACACTCATTCACACTATGCCAGATACCAGAGAAAAATGGCAGTGGCAAACATGCAAAGACACAGCAGTAGCAAGAAACACTCTGAAGCTGAGGCTTTCAGGGCCTTGCCCATCCTAGATTCACCCATCAGGGTTTTGTTTCCTAGTGGGCCAATCCCCTGAAGTCAATTGCTATCTGCTGCTCTTCTGACATGGCCACCAGTAAGATGTGTGGTGTCAATTAATCCTGGTGTTTCTCTGTTTATTTGTTGTCCAGGTGACCTGCCTATTGAAGAAAGTAGTGTACTGAAGTCACTACTACTAATGGATTGATGTTAATCTGTGCCTTTGATTTCAGTAGTAGATTTGTTATGAATTGGGTGCCCCCAAGTTTGGTGCAGATTTATTTGAGATAGCAACGCTGGGACTAGAGAGGTTGCTTAGCAGTTAAGAGCACTTGTTGCTCTTACAAAGGTCCTGGATTATGTTCCCAGCTACCACGTGGTGGATCACAAACCTCTGTATTCCAGTTCCATGGGATCTCTAGACCTCTTCTGGCCTTAGAGGGCACTAGGCACATACATGGTACACATACATGCATGCAGGCAAACACTCACATACATAAAGAAACTCTAAAATTAAAAGTTAAAAAATTAAAAAGGTAGTTATGTCTTCTTGGTTAACTGTCCACTTGATTAGAATGAAGTGTCCCTCTTTATCTCTTCTTATTCATTTTATTAAGTCTATTTTGTCTGGTATTAGGAGAGAGACATCTGCTTACTTCTTGGACCCATTTGATTGGAGTACTTTTGTCTATCGTTTTACTCTAAGGTATTCCTGATCTCTAAAACTGAGATATGTTTATTGTAAACAGTGGATAGGTTGGTTTTGTTTCTTGCTCCAGTCAGTCAGTCTGTGTCTTTTGATTGAAGAATTGAGGCTATTGATACTTAAAGTTATTATTGAAATGTTAGTTGTGATCATCATGCTGTTGACTTTTGGTATTCTCAGTGGTACTTTGTGTTTTATAATTAAGCTTCATATTTCTTTGCATGGTCTCTTTCCTATGTTAACTCTTCTCTTCATCCAGAAATAATGCTTTCTGTTTTTTCCTTAGGTTTGGTTTGTTGGATATAATTTTTTTAGGCTGTTTATATCATAGAAAGTTTTTCATTCTCCTTCAAACATTTCAGATAGTTTTGCTGGGTATATTATTCTGTGTTGGCTGTCATAGTTTGTGTGTTTCTTGTACATGTATGTGTACATGTTTCTTGTACATGTATACATACATGTGTGTGTATAGCTTTTCTTTCCTTCTTATTCCATATCTGGCTGTGTGGCTGGCCCCTTCTTTTCTTTTCTTTCCTTTTCTTTTCCTTTCTTTCTTTCTTTTCTTTTTTTGGGGGGTTTTCGAGACAGGGTTTCTCTGTATAGCTTTGGAGCCTATCCTGGCACTCACTCTGGAGACCAGGCTGGCCTCGAACTCACAGAGATCCACCTGCCTCTGCCTCCCAAGTGCTGGGATTAAAGGCGTGCACCACCAACGCCCGGTGATCCCTTCTTTTCTTGCTCCTTCACTTCCTCTCCCAGATTTCTCCTATTTATTCTCTCTGCCTACCTATCCATTTTCCTGCCCTGCTATTGACCATTCAGCTCTTTATTAGGCCAATCAGGTGTTTTAGGCAGGCAAAGTAACACAGCTTCACAGAGTTAAACAAATGCAGCATGAAAGAATGCAACAAATAAGCCAGGCATTGATGGCGCTCGCCTTTAATCCCAGCACTTGGGAGGCAGAAGCAGGTGGATCTCTGTGAGTTTGAGGCCAGGCTGGTCTCCAGAGCGAGTGCCAGGATAGGCTCCAAAGCTACACAGAGAACCCCTGTCTAAAAACCAAAAAAAAAAAAAAAAAAAAAAAAAAAAGAATGCAACACATCTTTGCATCGTTAAACAAATGTTAAACATCATAAACAAATGTAACACATCTTAAAATAATATTCCACAATGGATGTGTCTTTCCTTGGTTTGGGGAAGTTTTCTACTATGATCTTGTTGAAGATCTGGTCTATGCCATTAACTTAGGGTTCTTTTATCTATGACTGAAATTTGAAGACTCTTCTTCCTTCCTTCCTTCCTTCCTTCCCTTCCTTCTCTTCTTTTCTTTCCTTCCTTTCTTTCCTCCCTTTCTTCCCTTCCTTCCTTCCTTCCTTTCCTTTCCTTTTTTCCCTTCCTTTTCCTTCCTTCCTTCCTTCCTTTCCTTCCTTTCCTTCCTTCCCTTCCTTCCTTCCCTTCCTTCCTTTCTTTCCTTCTCTTCCTTTCTTTCCTTCCTTCCCTTCCTTCCTTTCCTTCCTTCCTTCCCTTCCTTCTTTTCCTTCCTTCCCTTCCTTCCTTCCTTCTTTTCCTTTCTTACTATCTTTCCTTCCTTTCTTACTTTCCTTCCTTTCTTTCTTACTTTCCTTCCTTCCTTCTTTACTATCTTCCCTTCTTTCTTTATTTCCTTCTTTCTGGATGTCCCACATCTCCTGTGTGTTTCCTTTTGTGATTTTTTTTCATGTTCCTTGTTTATTTGGTCTAGATCTCCACTTTTATTTTGAGACCTGATATCTATCTTCTGCTTAATTCATTATACTTGTAAGTCTTTCCTTTGAGTTTTCTATTGGGTTTTTCAATCCCATCTTCATTTCAGCTTGAGTCATCTCCAGTGTTTCTACCTCTTTGTTGAATTCCATTTTCATGTACTGGATTGTCTTTGCCATTTTTATCAGTCTTATGTTTGTGTTTTCTTGGGCATCACTTAGGCATTTATTCTCCTTTAGCTCTTTGTTCTTATTTCACTGAGCTTTTACTTGTGACTTCTTTACATTCTTTTGACTTGAGGACTTTTATAATTGTTCTTTTAATTTCTGTGTCCTGGAGGTCAATTCTGATTGGCAAGCATTTCTACAGGAATGGCTGTTAGGTTTTAGAGAGAAGATGCTGGCTTGATCTTGAGATGCTGGCTTGTTATTTCTGCAACGAGATCTGAGCCTGTGAAATTTCTTTGTTAGTTCTGAGTTTGTAATCAATGGAGCAGGAAAGGGGAGACGAGAGGATGTCGGGGTGTGTTAGGTCTAGAGGTTGGAAATGGCTTAGGTGAAATGAAGTCAGGTGGGCAAAGGGCACTTGGGTGGTATACGGGACATGCTTTCTGTTCTAAGCTAGGAATGTGGGTCCAGATATAAGTGGAGACAAGGAAGGCCAGACCTTGGATATGACATGGGGGATGGCAGGTGGCAGGGAGGATACTGGCTCACTGTGGTGTTTGAAAGAAAATGGTCCCCAAAGGGAGTGACACTATTAGGGGGTGTGGCTTGTTGAAGTAGGTGTGCCCTTGTTGGAGGAAGTGTGTCACTGTGGGGTTGGGCTTTGAGATCTCCTGTGCTCAAGATACTGCCCAGTGTGACAGACCACTTCCTGTTGTCTGTGAATCAAGATGTAAGAACTGTCAGCTCCTTCTCTGGCACCATGGCTGCTTGCATGCTGCCTTGCTTCCCACCATGATGATAATGGACTAAGCCTCTGAAACTGTAAGTGAGCCACCACAACTAAATGTTTTTATTTACAAGAGCTGCTGTGGTCATGGTGTCTCTTCACAGTAATAGAAACCTAACTAAGATACCCACCCTAGAGCTCACCTAAAGAGAAGACAAGGAAGGCCAGACCAGGTTGAAGAACTGGTTGTAGGACTCAGGCTAAATCTGGTAGATTTCAGAATATACCTGGATGAAGAAGTCAGGGGTGCTCCAGGGCTAGACCCAGGAGGAGGATGTGGGATGTCTGGTGGTTATGGAGTGGGGTGGAGGAAATGACTCAAAGGATCCTGTAGGTGGATGCAGGTACTGCAGATTCCCTGCTTCAGCATGGTCCCAAAATACCCCTAATACTTGTTTTAATAAACAGATGCCTTCTCCCAGGCACGTACCTAGATCTTATTCATAGACAAAATAGTTCTGGTTCCTATCACCATGGGGAGGACTTCTTAATCCAGCTCAAAGGAACCCATGTCTTGCTCAAGGGAGAGAGAGCAGTGGACTTTGCTTTATTACCGTTTGACATGTGCATCTTTATTCATCACACCAGATCCAGTGTGATAAAACGGTCTGTTCCACAGCAGTGTGGGATTTCCTACTCGTCAACCACTCAGCAATGGGCACAAAAACAGCACACTTCTGTTCTTATCTTCCTTGATTAAAATCACTGGCAGCAAATGGCTCTAAAGGATAGACTCGGGAGTTAGAGTGCAGAGATGTTTTCTCTACCCCTGCGCTGACTTTGGAAAGATGCTGTGTGCTTGGATGCTTCTCTGGGGCCACTGACGTTTCATTGGTAATGCAATCGAGAATCTGGGTTGAAGAAACATTTTCTGTTTTATAACAGGTGGTGTTAAACGGAATGGCGCAAAACACGAGATCTGAAGGCAGTAAGTGGCACTCATTAGCTGGTCTGGTAATTACAAACCTGTAAGGAGAGTCAAAGATAAATTCTGAAACTGCCATTTGGACAGTGTGGCTACAAGCATTGCCCCAAAGAAAGATGGCTTTTTTTCCCCCCATTTCCATCATTGGCACACAGGAACAGGAGGGTCCTAGAAATTGATGTTCACTTCTCTACAACACACCCACTTAGGCATGGCATTCCATGCTCTCTGGCAGTAGCTGTTTTCATTATTTTAATGAGAGAGACGGTGTCTGGGAGAGCTCACCTCTACTGGCTTATCTGGCTCTAGGTTTATTTGTTTATAATATACACAGACTAATACCTTCAGTTAGCACAGTTCTAAGCACTGAAGCGAACTGGGACATAAGCCAGGAAGACAGGTTAATGCTGGACACTTGCCCTGGGTTCCACCCCTAGAACTGTATATACACAAGTTTGCTTGCTACAACATGCCAGGGTCCCAGATAGTTCCATATAGATTTATATCTATCTTAACCTGATGTGTCGGTCAAAAAGTTTTACACAGAATGCAGCCCGACCAAAGAATAAATGAATTTAACACCTAAATTTCTATTAAAAATAAATCTGAAAGAACACTCACAGCCTAGGGCTCCATGAGAAGACTTTTTAGGGAAGAAGACACCTCAACAAGATGTCAAGTTCAGAGCAAACCTCAACAGGTATGAGTTAATACCCAGGCAGGATTCATGACTAAAATATAGGCAGGCTGACCTTGTGTGACTTTCATCTGCCCTTCTTTACTGCTGGCCCCAAAGGTCCCCTCTTTTTAAATATGAAGGCTCGACCCACCTTCAGCCAATAATCTACTCATCATCATTTCCCATGGGTCCTCTGTGGCCTGGATTGGTTCTAATTAACATTTGGCACAATCACACGCATTCCTTTTAAAGCAAAGATACCATTTCCTTCCTTGAGGACCTAATAATATACACTGTGCATTCTTCCAAAACCCATATTCTACAGGTTTTCCAGACCTGTGGGTACAGGGTATAGAGCTGAGAGAGACTGGGGCAGGGGAACATGTTTTTATGTAGAAATCATTCTAGTTTCTGGTGCTGAACTCAGAGCCCTGCTCCTCCCTACTGTCCTAAAGGTGGGTGTTTTAAAGCCACTTAGCCCTCCCTATTAATCCATCAGTGTCACCTATAGACCTCCATGTTCATTTAGGTCTTCAGCACTTGGGCAGCATTTCTTCCTACCTCAGGCTCCATCACCACTGTTCATTGCTACAGTGTTTCTGTGCTCTACAGCTGTGTCACCTAGGCTCACTTCTCTGACACCTGCTACCCAAAGATTCTCCATCTCCAAACCACTTTCCAGGAACATCCTGAGTGTGTTACCACTTCCTATGTCCCATGTCAGAAATCTTAAGCTTCAGTAAATGAGTCTCTACACACAACCTCCCACCATCCTCTCTCTCCTGCTCTCTTACTCTGGGTACATCTCCTCTCTATTCATCAGGATTTCCAGTCCTCATCCTTTGACTCTACAGTCTACCATTGTTCCCTGTATCCATGACAACCCTGCTTTCACACCACACAGAAGCTCATCTGAATTTTACCTTTTCTCAACTCTACATCACTCTCCCATCTCCTCTGTGTACTGTATGACTCCTCCCCTCTCCTCTCTGCACTATATGACTCTTCCCCTCTCCTCTCTGCACTGTATGACTCCTCCCCTCTCCACTCTGCACTGGCTATATATGCACTAAGAAATGTTCATGCTAAGAATCCCCCCCACAGCTACCCTTACCTTATATTGTTCATTTACCATTTCTTTTCTTAATATTATATTATTCCTTCTCTCATTTCCTTCTCTCCTCCCTCTCTTTCTCCTTCTCACTTGAACCCACTATTTGAGTAATTTTATTTGTCCCCTGACTGGAATGAGTTCCACCAATCTATTTCTACTCTTGCATTTTTTTTTTTCATTTCTCCCTGGATACTAACTGCTTTCATTCCCATGATGACAGTCCTGGCTTGGAACTGCATGATTGTGCTGTTCTAGATTGCATCCTTTCTTTTCCCCTTTCCACTTTGATCCAGATAGATTTTCTCTGTTTCCCACAGCTGGCAGAATGATCTCCTTTTAATGAGTCTGAACACAGTACACTGATGGTTTAAGAATGCAAACCACCGTGACTAGAAGGAAGCATCCATTAATCATTTCGAAGTGAATCCAGCAGGCAGCCAGGGCATCTCTCTTATGTAGCATCCTTATGGATGGAGGTAGGCCATACAAGAACTCCCGTTCAAAGCTCATGCTTTAGTTTCCAATAGGGGCAGAATCTCTATTCTCATTACAATGTCAATGTTCGTGGGATTCTGATAACATGCTTCCTGTTGTTTGGACCCAGTCTTTCATATTCTTTTTTTTTTTGTCTTCCATATTCTTACATCATTATCTAGCCCCCCTCATCCTGCTATGCACTAGCTGGTCTGGAGTTCTGGACTTGGCCTTGGTTCTCACACTTAAAAGGTGGCTAGCACTTTTCAAATCAGCATACTTCCCTTCTGTGTTCTGGGTTGTGTTCCTCCTCATCCATCATACGGTATAAGCCAACACATAGGATCCCATAATTATCTAATGAGCCACAGAAGAGTTGTCCAAAGGTTTCTCTTGGCTGGGAAGAGAGCAGAACAACGGGGCTTTGTAAGCACTTTAATCAAACAGTTGTTAAGAACTTACTTGAGTGTTGTTTGCCAGCTTTTTGCTGCAGATACTAGAAGACCTAGCAGCCCCTCATTTGCTTGTGATGGCAGTGTATAGTGGGCAGTCACAGAAGTTGGTGATTAGTTATCCCTTTGTGATTCTGGTTTCCTCAAGAGCCACTGGTGGGAGTAGTGTGGCACATGCTCTTGCATGTTCTTTTACTGTGCTAGTTTGGACCACCATTAAGATGAGCAACAGGTTCAAAATTAATCATGAGCAGCAGGTTCAAAAATTCAGTTTTAGGGTAAACTTCAGGGGATCTCAAGCATTCTTGCTCTAAAGCTATGGTCAGCAAAGTCACAGTTCAAAGGCATTGGCAGATAGGTTAGAAGCATCTGGAAAGGCGAGGTCAACAGCTGCTCAGTTCTGTGCTTCCTTAGGGAAAGATCGAACTGGGTCAGAAATGCAGGACAACCTGCTTTTGCCTCAGAGATCCACAGGAGGTGCTGGCAGCAGCTTTCCGGGCTTATCCCTCACTAGGCAACTGCAGGTGAGGGCCCCGGAACCACATACATGCAGATGGTATTTGCGCTTGGAATTCACAGGCACAGAACACACAGGTCACACTCACTTGGGCAGTACGTGTTGAGCCATGTGCAGCACAGAGGCCTACAGAGCACATGCCTTTGAAGGGCCCTACTGATATCCACTGACTTTACAAAGATGTCTCCTTGTCCACATGCATCCTCACCATAACACTGAACAGGGGGATGCAGTGTCAATCAAAATAAAAACAAAGCACGGCACTGAGAAGTGGATGCCTTGTGACCAGGCTGCACTCTACTCCAGCTCCTAAGGAATGATGCCCCACTGGAAACTGCCCATGGTGTTATCTTGTTATCTTGTCTGCCTTTTCCTGCTCTCTGGGCCAAGCAAGTGTCAACATATTCAGTGACATTCTTAGACCCAGATCCAGAGTTCTGCCTGACTGCAGGTGGCCTGACCAGAATTCTCTAGCATTTCAGGTACTGAGGCAATAGTCAGAACCTGGAACCCACTTCCTTAGCTTGTCCACTGCTGTGATATGGTTGAAACCGTAATAGCCTCAGGTGAGCATCAGTTCCTTGATCTGTTAAATGGGTTTAGTCACTTAACTCATGTCATCCCTGGATAGATTAAACACAAAAGATACAGAGGAGATCTAGGGCTTCTTGGAAGGTTGAGGTCAAGGGGACTACAAATGACAACAACCTTACTGCTGCATCATCTCATGGAAAGGTGAAAGGGCAATATAGGCCACGTGTAAGAGAGAGGAGAGGAGACCAAGCTCATACTTCTATTGATACCCTGTTTCTGCTAGTGACATTTAGTTCATTATACCCCATCAATCTTTTAATGGCTCACCCTTCACCACCATTGCATTAGGGACTGAATTTCCAATACAAGATCTATAGGGGACACGTTCAGATACAGTGTTGGGCCTCTCTGATGTTGCTTGCAGATTTAGCTGGAGGATGGAGAAAACAATTTCTCTACCTCTTGAGATTTTCGCAAAGAATAAACACAACCAATGAAAATGTACTGTGCAGAGACACTGCATCTATAAGAGTGTATTGTATTAAATTTTTACTAGTTATTATTTCTGTGTTAAGGCATTTAGGATCTGAGGCATCCTAGACCATTGAAAATCAGAGAGTTAAGGAAGTAGGAAATGTATTATAGTAACAGTAGACTCACCTCAATGTCTGATAAAATGGTTTGGTCTAAAGAGAGAAGCCCCAGCTTACACCGTGCCCTCCCAGACACAACTGTGGCACAGCCTTCATGTATCCCATAGTACTTCTCCTTAGCCAAACACTGTTCCATCTGAGCGCTGATACCTCCTGTTACTAGCATGTGAAGTAATTCCAGGACATGACAGTTGTAGAAGGCCTGGAAAGCAAAGGCAAGCCAGGTATGAGATCAGAAGGGCCAGCGCATGAATTGTAGAGGTTTTGGGACTCGGAGATGAAGTAGGCATCACCATGTGAAATGGGCCTCTGGTGCTGGTTTTTATTGCCACTATCAGATTGAGTGCAAGTTGGCACTTTGGGTAGAGTTAGTCAAAGCAAGGGGAGAAAAAAAAAAAAAAAAAAAAAACAGTGAGAGAGATCTTGTTCCTATAGTGCAGACACTGAAAAGTAAATAATGGTGCTGATTATCCCAGAGCCCTCTCCCTCCATAAGTGACCAGAGTAGTGTGTCAAGCCACAATACCGTAAGCATCATCAATGTACATTTTAAAAATGTACATATAACTAATGAGACAGATTTTTCCTTGAGGTCACACTGACATTTTTGTCATCTATTCTTGAGTTTGGGAGATGTGAATTTACTTAGAATCCTTTGAATAATGGCCTATTTAAAGCCACACAGTGATGTCACTCAAACGCACGGGGCTTCCATCGTTCTTTTCACTACAGTAACAGTTATAGGTATCAGATAAATAAGGAGAGTTTTAGAATCCTTGGTGTCTTAGTTGCTGCTCTGTTGCTGTGAAGAGACACCATGACCAAGGCAACTCTTATAAAAGAAAGCATTTAATTGTGGGCTTGCTGACAGTTTCAGAGGTTAGTTCATTGTCATCATGGTGTGGAGGATGGCAGACATGGTGCTGGAGAAGTTGCTGAGAGGTCCGTATCCTAATCCATAGGCAGAGAGAGACCCTGGGCTTAGCAGGGTCTAAGGATTTGAATCCTCAAAGCCTACCCCACCCCCTGAGCCCCGTAACACACTTCCTGCAACAAGGCTACACCTACTAATCCTTTTAATCTTTTCAAATAGCACCACTCCTGGTGACTAAACATTCCAATATTTGAGAGTATGAGGGCCATTCTTATTCAAGCCAAACATTTGGCATCCAGAGGAAATGGAGACAAGTGCTCACACCAAAACAATCTGAGGTGTCTCCATAAACTCCCTCTCCAGAGCTACTGTCACAATCTTATATCCTATGCAGTAGGTTTTCTCGAGCTGACAGAATATATATTTTCTAAGAGTTTTATTTATTTTATTTTTTAGGTTGACATAACAAAGTAATGGGTTTTGTGACGGCATCTGCATATGTGTGTTTCTTTGTATTTTCTTCTCATTTCTCCCATCTCTACCATTCTCCCCCGTGCTCTTCTGCCATCCAGCTGTTCCCTTTATTCCCCCACTTAGTCCCTACTTTTCTATTACATATATTCTCTTGCCTTATATGTTCCCTACTTCCCTTAAATATCACACTCCCCTCTCATGATCTCCTTCTTTCATGACTTAAATACACACACATAAATGCACATGTACACACAAATATACACACACATACATGTGTATAAAACTTTAGATTCTGCACATGAAAGAAGCATGATGTTTGTCTTTCTGCATGTGCCTTATCCCATAAATTCTGCATGTGCCTTATCCCACTTAACGTAATGATTTGTGGGTGAATACCTTTTCCTGTGAATGTCCTGGCTTCATTTTTTCAATGGCTGCAAAACAATGCTTTTGTGCTCATATGCCACATTTTATTCATTATTTGTATGTTGATGGATACTTGACGGGTTGTGTTTCTCAACTCTTGTGAACAGTGCACCTATAAATATAAATGTCTAAGTACTTCTGTAGTATGATAGCTTGAAGCCCTTTGAATAGATGCCTAGGAGTTGGATCATATAATAGTTCTATTTTAATTTCCTTTTTCTTTTCTTTCTTTCTTTTCTTTTTTTTGTTTTTTGTTTGTTTGTTTGTTTGTTTGTTTTTTCGAGACAGGGTTTCTCTGTGACTTTGGAGTCTGTCCTAGAACTAGCTCTAGTAGACCAGTCTGGCCTGGAACTCACAGAGATCCACCTGCCTCTGCCTCCCAAGTGCTGGGATTAAAGGCACGCACCACCAACACCCAGCATATTTTAATTTTCTTACTTAAAAAATATCAATTTTAGAAGAGGGTCACTGGGTGGTAGTGACATGCCTTTGATCCCAGCACTCAGGAGGCAGAGGCAGCACTCTGTGAGTTCAAGGTCAGCCTGTTCTACATAGTGAGTTCCAGGACAACCAAGGATATACAGAGAAACACTGTCTTGGAAGAAAAAAAAAAAGAAAGGAAGGAAAAGAAAAGAAAAGAAAAGAAAAGAAAAGAGGGTCAATTAAAAAAATATTTACCACTTTTTTTCTTAAAAATTGACTAAAAAAAAAAAAAAAAAAGAAGAATGCCAATTCTAACTGCATGTAAATTCCATAAGTTGTATATAGTCTTTGGGTCTGGAAATTGGTGTGTGATGTTTTTATTTGCAAGGTTTTTTTAATGTTTTTTTTCTCTTTTTTTGGCAAGGTTTTTTAAAATAAGAAAGTTCATTATTTTTTTTTCTGTATGTACATATGTGTAAAAGGTGCATGCACTCATGGGTGCTGGCCCGTGCTCCTGTGTGAGAATGTGAAGGCTAAAGGGAAAAACTGGGTGCATGCCTGCTTCACTCGACTTTATTCCTTTAGAGGCAGGGTCTCTCATTGCCCCTGGAGCTTACATTACTTTAGCTAGGCTGGCAGTCAGCTAAACCTAGCAACTCTGTCTCCATCACCATCAGTTGTGCACAGGTCCACACTCAGCCTGTTCTGTAGGTGCTACAATCTAAGCTATGGCCCCATAGTTGCACAACAAGTACTCGTAACCACTGAGTCATGACCCAGCCAGAGTTTTAGATTTGGGGGAGTTTCCACCCAGTGTGTCCACTGTGTCTGCAGAAACTTACTTTCATACCAGCTGTGGATAAGGTCCTTAATTCCCTGTGTCCTGGTCAGCCTTTGCTGTCATGTCTTTGGTGGCCATTCTGCCTGGGATGAGAGACTCTCAAAGCAGTTTAATCCTCATTTCCCTGATGCCTGGGGATTTTAGAATTCAGTTGTACTTTTTTCTTTTCTTCTCTTCTTTCTTTTTTTTGTTTTTTGTTTTTTTGTTGTTTTGTTTTGTTTTTCGAGACAGGGTTTCTCTGTGTAGCTTTGGAGCCTGTCCTGAAACTTACTCTGTATACCAGGCTGGCCTCAAAGTCACAGAGATCCACCTGTCTCTGCTGGGATTAAAGGTGAGTGCTACCACCGCACAGCCCTGATTTTTTTTTTTCACTTCCCACATTTCTATTTGGTTTTTCTTCCAAAGTGTAACTTTTCTTATTATGTTTCCTTTCATCTGGCTGACGTTTGGTCCATCTTTCTGACTCTTGTCCACCCCACTGGCTCTAGTCCCAATGCTGCTTCCCTCTTGAGAGCCTGGGATTGGATTCATCTGTTCTTTGTGTCCTCCTTCCGGTCACTGACCTGGTCCTCACCTGGAGTGCTGGAGTTCAGCAGTCGATGAACTCTGATATTTTAGAGGCTTCATGCTGCCTTGTTCTCCTTTGTTGTGTTGCAATTTGCACCTGTTTTGGTTCCGATGCCTTTCCTATCTGTGTGGCTCTTCTCACCGAACAGCCTACTCTGGAAAGCTCAACTCCAGCACAATATTAAGAGTCACCTCAGAAATGTAACCTACTTGATTCCCTTCGATGTAAACATCTCTGGCTTGACAAGGGGTTAATGTTGCTTACACTTCAGGAACATGATGGCCTGTCAGCATCTTTATCAGTGTTCTAGTGCCAAGGTAGAGCTATTTATAGTCTGAGAGCTCAGTAGGGTTTATGAGGTATTCACCTTGGCTAAGAGCAGCAGAGCCATGTTATTCCCTCAGCACTAGGGAGCACTGACACCATGAAGAGTCTGCACCTGGCCCAGCCATGCTCTGCTAATGTGCAGACTGTCTTTGAGGCAACCACGCCGCAGTTCAGGAACGATTCCTCCTCTACATGGAATTACAGAAAGCAGGGTGTTTACCAAGCTCTCCTCAGAGCCTCGTGCATTTGGATTTGCACATTGATATTTGGTCCTTTTGCAACCTTCTCTTAAGAAACCCTCAGTGGGAGGAGTCTGTGAGGCAGTGGATTGCATGATTTCCTTTCAGGGGTTCCTACAGTCATTCACAAATGGCTGCACACAGATTCTCTGGGTCTTAGACAGGTTCAAATTCCTCAGATACCTTATTCCTGCCTGGGACATTCTTCCTAAAGGCTCTCAGTAACATCCACTCCCTTCCAGGTAATGACTTGCAAACATCCCCTCAGAATCCCTTCCCCTGGTCATAACTGAAACCCCTTCCTCCAAGCTCCATATTCTCCCGTCTCCCCTGACCTTTGCCTTGTATGTATTCTTTCTGTTGCTAGTTATCAATGTTTAAGTCAGTCTCTGCTGTACCCCGCTGGTACAGTGCCCAGCACAGTGTAGGTGTTCACTGTTTAAGAGTGGATTCTGCTCATGGGATTCCTGTGATGAGTGCCAGGGGTCTGCTTACAGCCAAAACTTAAAATGGATCCCAAGAGAGAAGCAATACAGAAGGAGATTTGGCTTTGATCCGAACAAACCACAGGCTCCTCACAAGACCAGGCCTTTCCTCTTGAAAGTCCTGGATCCCCTTATGGTGATGTCTACATGAACTATTGGGATGATCTATAGAGCTCTGACACTTGGTCTGCCCAGCTGAATGCAAAGATCCAAGTTTGGCACCCATCCCCTTAGGCATTTGGGATCCCCTTGCTGGTGTAATCTTGAAAATGTAAAAATTTGAAAACATGAAATAATGTCTGTGAAGTTGCCATTTTAGAAAATTAAAAAGAAGTCAAAACAGGGAGCAGTGGTCTCTCTGGGGGACACAGGCTCATCTGCACCTACCGTGGCCAGAAGAGAATCCAAGAAGTTGCCTGAAAAGACAGCACCCGTGGAGAAGGAAGTGCTGAGATGCAGGCTCGTTCCTTTGACTGTCCCATCCAGTCCACCAAGCTGCTCTATAAAGTGGATGTTGGAGGGGTTCTCTGTAAGACAAGATGAAAAGGCAAGGCCAGCACACTTGGGAAAATGGGAGACTGCTGCCTATATTCCTAAACTCAATCCTCTCTGGCACAACAGAGCTCTACCAGAGAGAGTGCCCCGTGGACTTTGTGTCACTCCATGTAGCTCAGCCAGTAAAGTGCTTGCCACACATGCAGGAAGAGCCATTTGAGCCTAGAATTTTTGTTTTTTTTTAAAAAAAAAAAACCATGGGGCTGAAAAGATGGCTCAGCAGTTAAGAGCACTGGCTGCTCTTCCAGAGGACCTGGGTTCATAACTAGATCTATTGTTCCATGAGGACTGTAAGACACTTAGAAGCCTGTTTTGTTTCTTTTTGCTTTTTTGTTTTGTTTTGTTTTTTGAGACAGGGTTTCCCTGTATAGCTTTGTAGACCAGCCTGGCCTTGAACTCACAGAGATCTACCTGCCTCTGCCTCCCAAGTGCTGGGATCAAAGGTGTAAGCCACCACCACTTGGTTATTTTGTTTTTTTACTCAGACTAACATAAGAAAACAACAAATTCTCCCCAGTCTAAGACAAGCTACATACATTTAGCTGATTTATAACCTTGAAATAATTTCAGACTAGACTGAATGATCTATAAATGGATCATACGTTAAAAACTTTGCACATATGCACAACGACAGTTACAGGTGTCTAAACCAAGGTTATTAGCACAAAGCAACCTAAAATACTATGTGAGTTTCTCTTGCCAAGTCTGACTGATAAAGACCTACTCCCTGTGCAAATTCCTCAGCAGCTTGTCTCACTGGGCACTATGCCCCCCACCTCCAGTTACAGCCTGTACACCAAGAACCTTGAAGCCAGGCATTTCCATGTTGCTCTCTCCCCTCAGATGTAGCTTTTGTAAACTGTTTTATTGAAAGAAGTTTGGTGTGTGTGTGTGTGTGTGTGTGTGTGTGTGTAACAGCTAGGTGTGAACAAAGGAGCTAGAGAGAATTGGAATGAGAGAATTAGAGCTAGAGAATTCAAACTGGAGAACAAAAGTTGGAAATAGAGCATGACCCTCAGATTGTGTATGTGAGACTTTTTCTTTGGATAGATAGGAAATTTTCCTTAGTCCCCACTGCTCTGATGGCATTCTTTTCTGCAACCCTTTGTGCAGTTCTGGCAACTGGACTCCCAGGCTGTGGTAAAGAGCAAAGACTGAGGGTCTGGTAGGTGCCTTGTTAGTTCATGTGACAGTGGGTGTCTGTTTCCAAAAGGTCTTTAGCTGAACAAAGCCTGAAGTCCACGCCGAGTGGTAGAATATACCTTATCTCCTCCCACCACTTTAATTTACCATTTCTTCTAATTATATACGTAATCTTAGGAGTCAGAGATGGTTAAAGGGGAAGAAACAGTAAAGGTATCCATTAAACTTGCAGTCATCTAAGACTCAAGCTGGTTGCAAGTAGACTGACAGGTGCTGGTTCAGATGCTTGGAACAGGCTTCAATGGATGATGTCTCCATTTGGGGAGAGGCCCCAAATAGCACCAAAAGGTTTCTGGGACCTATTCTGTTTCCTTAGTCCTCTGACTGTGGATTCTAGAAAGAACTGGAGGCATCAACTATGCACCATAAAAATCTCTCCCTTGAATATTCCACTTACAAGGCAACTTACTCAGTTCAGTGAGAATGGGGATCCTCTCGTAACTGCTTCCCTCATATTTATCAAAAGTAAATGCAGTCTTTGTGTCTACAGACAGTAAAGAGATGACAAGAACAAATAAGCAGCTCATAAAACTTGGCTGGAAATACAGTAACATTACATGACCCAATGTTTTAGCTCAACAAAGTTACTTTCCTGTCCATAACTCAAATTCATTTCTGTATTTAGAAAAATCTCTTATACTTGTCCCTTGCTTGATATTTATGGGGAGCAGAGTCCCTGTAAGTTCCAATCCTGGAAAGCTCAAGCCCTTTCTGGGAAAATGCTAGTTATTTGTGTATCACTGATGCACATTATCTCAAACACCTTACCTCAGATGGCTGATAATACCTAATATAATGTAAAAGACTATAATAATGTTTACAAAACAACAATAAGGTCTGTAAATGTTTAGCTGTTTAGTATAGATGCATTTCCCCTGAATACCTTCTGTCTGTGGTTGGGAATGAATCCACAGATGCAGAACCCACAGTACAGAGGGTTGACTGAATTTAGTCTTTACTCTTCTTGAAAGGGACAGTAAATGATTCGTGTTTGTGCACGTGTGCGCATGTGTGCATGTGCGTGCGTGCGTGCGTGCGTGCGTGCGTGCGTGCGTGCGTGTGTGTGTGTGTGTGTGTGTGTGTGTGTGTACATGTGCATGTGTCACAAAAGTCTCCAAGTAGTAAGGTGTTAGTTAGTGTTTTGAGTAATATCTGAGCCACATTAATATACTTATAGCACTTCTAGAAACTCCTAATGAGTCGCTGCTGCTTCATGAGTACTTCTGGAGACCCTGCAATGGCCTTCTGGCCCCTCATACTATCTGCCACTTCAAGGTCCTCCAGAGGGTATGTATCTTCTTTCTGCTCCTAAGAACCGAGCGGCACCCCCACTCTGAGAACCCTGCCTCTACTGGGAATACCTTGGGAGTCTGTAAAGAACAGTCTTTGATGTGGAGAAGGTAACAATCAGAGGCCTACGCAGTCTAGGTTTGCCGAGCTGTTCACCTTGCAGCGTGGCCAGGTAGTGATCAGCATGACTGGAAACCCTCCACACTTCCCATACACATACATGACCAGGAGGTGCTCTTATGGATCCTTAGGCAAGTCCTCAGTCTCGGTACTGCTGACCTTTTAGTGTGGGGCTGCCCTGTGGACTGAAAGCTGTTTAACAGACAGCTTGTGTGACCTTACCAAGAGATGGCAGCATCTCTCCAGTGACCAAAACTGTCACTACTGACCTAGGGAAATAAAAGAAGACTGTACGCCATCAATTGGTGCATCGTGGGACAACCTTCAGCCCTGATATAGAATCTAATACAGCAGAGAAAACTGGAATATTTTTGCTGAATTAATAAAATGTGGAAAATCATTAGCTATAAAAAACAAAAACAAGGCTGGGCATTGGTGGCGCACGCCTTTAATCCCAGCACTTGGGAGGCAGAGGCAGGCGGATCTCTGTGAGTTAGAGGCCAGCCTGGTCTCCAGAGCGAGTGCCAGGATAGGCTCCAAAGCTACACAGAGAAACCCTGTCTCAAAAAACCAAAAATAAAAAAAAACCCAAAAAACAAAAAACAAAACAACATTTGGCTAAGTGTGATGGACGCACCTTTAACCTCAGCACTCAGGAGGCAGTGTCAGGTAGCTCTCTGGGAGTTCAAAGCCACCCTAGTCTACATAGTGTGTTCAAGGACACAATGAGACCCTGTCTCAAAAGAAAAATAGAACCAATTTTTAAAGTCTTCCTATCCTGTAAAGAAAGCTAAGGTTTTAAAACACTAACTGAATAACAACCATTAGAGTCAATGAGAATTGATTATTATCTCTTGTCATAACATTGTAGTTGCTATGCTTTCCAATATTAGAAGCAAAATAATGCCTCTTATATTTCAGTGCTTTTTTTCCTTAAAATGGGAAACCAGTGTATATGAATTCTACCTTGAAGATGAGTATAGGTTTTCATATGACTTAGAATTCCAGAGGAAATAACTGGGTTATTCCTACCATAATATTGTCAGAGCCGGAAAAACTGTGACATCTGTCCCAATCCTTCCTCTTCACAGAAAAGTTTCTCAAGGATGATTTAATTAACTATCTTACCCCACCCTCCCTAGGCTCGTCCCCTCAGGAGTTGTTCTGACCTGGCACTGAAGTCGTCTGGGTAGGGTAGCTGACCCGAAGGGATTGGATGTTGAGGGTGGCCATGATAGTCTCAGTATCCACCAGAATCTGGCTGCTCAGTGGCTTAGATGGGGAGGCTAAGATAGCACACATAGAGCACCTCTCTATGTTGACTGCATGCAGATCTCCAGTGTAGAGTGCAGATCCCTGAGGAGAGAATTCCACATTGTGAAGGGATCCTCAGATGGGCCGGTCTGAGATCATGATTTCTGGTGGCCAGTCTTTGTTGGTGAGGCAGGTTTTTAGCTAAAGCCTCTACTGACTTGACTAAAACTTTGTTATCAGTTGTCTGATATGCTGTCCTGACCCCTCTCAGAGAACAAGTTTGGATGAGACAAAGGGGAATGATGGGGAACAAAAATCTATTTTGACAACTTAAGCGAAAAGAAATCAGGTGACCATGGTGATGAAAAAGTCAGAGTTTAAAGGAGGCATCATTGAGCTAGAGGTTAATTCTACATCTCTCACCCTTGCTAGTAGGCCGTCTATCCCACTTGTATTCTCCAAATAGCTGGTAATGTAGCCTCGCCTTTGGGGAGCTTGGGGTTTGTCCTAGTTGGCATTTCTATTGCTGTGATGGAGCACTATGACCAAAAGCAACTTGGGGAGTAAAGGGTTTAGGTCAGCTTATACTTAGATGTCATAGTTCATCATAGAAGGAAGTCAAGGTAGGAACTCAAGTAAAGCAGAAACCCAGAGGAAGGAACTGAAGCAGAGGCCATGAAGGAGTGCTTCTTACTGACTTACTCCTCAGGGCTTGCACAACCTGCTGTTTTTTTTTTTCTAGTACCCAGGACCATCAACCCAGAGGTGGTACCACCCACAGTGACTTGGGCCCTGCCTTATCAATTATTAACCAAAAAAATGTGCCACAGACCAATCTGGTGGGGATATTTTCTCAATTTGGGAAGAGGTCCTCTCTTCCCAAATGACTCTAGCTTGTGTCAAATTGACATAAAACTAGCCAGCACAAGTGATCTCTTGTCAATTTGACACACAGACTCATTTTTTAAATCCATAATCTTTCCCTTCTTGTTAATACTCACAATCTCAATATTAATATCAGAACATAAAACACTTTTTAAAGTCCCACAGTCTTTAAAAATTTAGTCTCTTTTTAAAACATCTATAGTTTCCATCAATGTTCAAAGCCTCTTCAAAATATACAAAGTCTTTCTATCTAAATTATCCTATGATATAAAAAAATCATTTAAATACTTTCTTACTCCAAAAAGAATCAGGACATAGAATCAAATCAGAGTAAAACAAAGTCCAACAGTATACCGTTCATTCAATCACAATCTTCTAGGCTCCAAAGTGCTTGCAAGAGTACACATAACTCATCTCAGGCTCAGGCCAGCTCCACTCCACAGCTGCTCTTTATTCCGTAACTATCCCAGGTAATGGAATCTGCACTCTGGGACCTCCTGCAGCAACTGGGCTGCACTTCCGCCAAGAGCCTCTCACAGGCTCAACTTTCTCTCTGACCCATTCAGTCCTGCGACTTCTGCTTCAAACGAGGCTTCACCTTCACTAATGGCCTCTCACGATGTCAAGTCTCACCTGCTTTCCATAACTCCTTGACGCCTCCAAACCAGTGCCATGAAGGAGACTCTTACACATTACCAAATTCAGCTGCCAGCATAAGGCACAGTCTTGTCCTCCCAGGGACCACAGCTTCTATGTGCTGAGCCTAAGGAAGTCCTCCCAGACTTAGGATCCTCAATGATGCTGGTCTCTTCTTAACCACCACTTATTTTCTTATCTCCAGCAAATCAGCATCAATTGTTCTAATAAAGCAAAGGTCTCACCTTAGTGGTTCTAGTCTCCTAACCACAGCCGATTCTTCAGCCCCGCCTGACCAGAACCACAGATTCTTAAAGCTTCAAGTATTGAACAGTGCTCACTGAGTCTTTAATGGACTCTCCACATTCCTTCTGAAACTCCACAAGCCTCCATTGTCTGCACTGTTCTCAGCATTATCTTCCAAGTTCAAACAACAATTCATTAAGCTCTCAACACTCACTGGCTTCTCCAGCCCAAAGCTCCAAGGCCCTTCCACAATCCTATCCAAAACTTGGTCAGGTCTGTCACAGAAATACCCTATGAAAGGGTTTAACACTGAGCACTCCCAACGCCAGCTAAGGTTAGGGACTTCTGAGCATCTTCTCTCCTGCCACATAGAGTGAAGCAGGCAGGATGAGGCACAGAGGACTACGTAGTGGCTTTTTTAAAAACAGCAAATTCAATTTGCTTTTTAGAGATTCAATAGATCTTATACACGGACAGTATTGTTTCATTAAATATTCAAATGCTTTGGTACAGTTCACAGTGCATATAATGGACTTCTCATCCAGGGAAATGGTGGCATAGCTCAGAGTATAAACCTGTGAAAGTTAAATGTAAATAAGACATCAGCTAGAATGCAACACACTCACACTGTGTTCTGTCTTAGCCTGTTCTGAGTCTGTAACAGAATGCCACAGACTGGGTAATTTATGAAGAAAAGAAATTCATTTCCCATAATTTTGCAGTCTAGGAAATCCAAGAGGGAAGGGCCATATCTATGAAGGTCTTCCTACTGCATCTTAGTGTGGTGGGGGATGGGGACCTGGCAAGTATGCACACACAGGACAGAGCATGAGGCCAATTTCTCCTTTCAGTAGGAACCACTCCCGAGAGGCTAGCCCCGTTCTCAAGGTAACAGCATTAACACATTCACAGGGGCAGAGTCCTCATGCCTGATCACTTCCTCTAGGTCCCACCTCTCAGCACAGTGGAAAAGTGACATTCCAACCACAGGTCCATTTCTACAGGGTAAATGGAGCCCCTCCTCTCCATATCCTCCCTGTGAGGACCCACATGTGGCTGTGTGTTCCATGGAAGATGTGACCAGAAAAGACAAGAAAGTCAGAGCCCAAAGGCCCAGCCATCACCAGCTTAGGTTTAACCAGTAAGGGAGAAGCAGACTGGCAAACACAGAAAAATTCTTATTTGTACACAGCCCATAAAACATGCAGGTCTGAACACAAACTCAGGAGCCTTAATGTCTGGATTAAAATTTTACCCTTAGCCAGGCATTGGTGGCACACGCCTTTAATCCCAGCACTCGGGAGGCAAAGGCAGGTGGATCTCTGTGAGTTCGAGACCAGCCTGGTCTACAAGAGCTAGTTCTAGGACAGCCTCCAAAGCCACAGAGAAACCCTGTCTCGAAAAACCAAAAAAAAAAAAAAAAAAAAAAAAAAAACTTACTCTTTACACTCACTTGTTCTGTGATCTTAGACAAGCTACCTATTTGGAAACCTATTGAGCCCACACCTAAGGCTCGGCATTTTTATAGTCTACCCCATATGAGTATTTAGAGGAGTAAATTAAATAATACAGGCAAACTGTTTAGTTGATCTTTGTCAGCAGGTGCCGTGTAACTGGAAACATACATATCATTACTATTATTACGAATCTAGTACTACATTATTATCCTCGTGTAATGCTTACAGGCATGATATATATCTGGGGAAAGTTCCGGAGAAATCGCCATTCTCTCTGTAAATATTCCAGAGCCCCGATAAACACAATGTCCTTCAGCTCCCGCCGGGTATAATTGCTGGCTCTCAGAGGCATCACAAAATTCCGAAGCCCCACCAGGGCTGAGTGGGCATCTCCAAATACACATGCTACAATGTGGTTCTGAAACTCATGTTTTGGCTTGTCAGTTCGTTTCTAAGGAGACACATGCCAGACTCAGGTCAATTTCACAAATAGCTAAGAGTTCTAAGATGAGCCCCACCTCCTTCCTCTCCTGACTCTCTAGGTATCTCCAGAGCAGTACTTTTATAGGCTAATACAATCTTTCAACTGCTTATACAAAAATGGAACCTATATATAGCTGGTGCAGTTATGGCATGGAGAGAGACAGAGACAGACAGACAGACAGACAGACAGTCAGAGAGAGAGAGAGAGAGTGTGTGTTTTGAGATAGGATCTCATGGTGATCCTTGGCTGACCTAGAATCATTATATAGACCAAGCTGGCCTCCAATTCACAGAGACCCACCTGTCAGTCCTCTAAGTGCTGGGGTTAAAGGTGTGCACCACAACACCCTACCCAAAGCCTTGAGAATTCTAAAGGAGGACACTGGAATGCTGGTGGAGACTGTTACATGTAATTAAATTTCACATGAGGGAGCTCTACAGCCTGTATACACAAGAATTAGAATATTTCAAACGGACATATTGAAAGATTCAGGCTTTAATGCTGATCATCTCTACCTCTTTAAGAGACAGACCCCGCCCCCTGACAACAATCAGGGCATGCACAGGAAAATATGCTACATCATCACGTCACCAGCCACACATTACGGCCTGCATGAGGACTCTGGGCATGCATAGAACCTCAGTGCGCATGCAGTCTTTCCTTTAAAAGTTCCAACTTCCCTACTGCTCTCTCTCTACTCTCTGCTCACTCCTGCTCTGCTCTTCTCTTCTCTCACCTACACGCTTTCTCTGCCTCTCTATGGCGACCAGCCATGGTGGTCAGCCATTACCCCTGTTCCTCTTCTCTCTTAGTCTCCCTACTCTGCCGGGCCTTATAATAAACTAGTCAATATGTCTCATCTGCCTCTTTTCCTCTTTTTCTTCAAAAACATAACACATATGTAATAATAAGAATTAACACCTGACATATCTGCTTATTTGATGAAATCCCCAGGGAAGACTCTCTGCAGGGATTGCCTTCTGTGAGATAGAAAACTACTTTTCTCCAGCTGTCTAGAGACTCACACACATGCTAACTAAATCATTAAATGCTTGTCTGTTTAATCTGGTCAGTTTTTACTTGAAGCCTCTAAGTAAATCTCATGCAATATCCCTAAAGTCTAATAGTTGCTCTGCTGAGATGAACTGAACACTTAGAAACTTCTAATACCCATGGCAGACTGCATCTGTGAACATAGGTAGGGAAGCCATTTCCTCCAACTAACTCTGGTAAAACCTGTCTCTCAGTTAAGAGAAATGGTGGCTTGACAGAGTGCCCTTTGTTCAAAGTACAACAAAGTGAGCATCCTTCCGCAAGCAGAACCAGGTTCAAAGGCTCTGAGTTTCTGAAATCTGGACTTTTCATTCCTAGAGACAAAATTTCAAAACCCTAAGCATTATAAAAACCAGAGCACCTCTAAACCCAACAAGTGACTCAGTGCACAGTCTGAGCTACATACATTCTACAACTAGTATTTTAAGGGAAGTACGAAAACTTGTTTGCATACTTAGCTAACACAATCTAACAAACCCCTCTCTCCCGATGCCCTCCCTGCCTCTCTTGAGTTTATCAGTCTGGGTCCAGCTGTTCGTAAGACCTGCTTCCTGCTGAAAACACACATGATTTCCTGCTCAGTGGATATTTACCTGGCATGGGTAGAAATCCTGAAACAGTTGTTTATAAGCTGATATGTCTCCTAGCTGATATGCCAGCTCTAAGAAATTAATGATGCTGATCAAAAGAATAGTTGTGTTTTATAAACATTGGAACATGTTCTGTCAGGATACTGGCATTGAACTACAAAGGTGGGGCATAGAAGGAATGGTATGTTTACTAAAATGCTTTTGAAAAACAAGAAAATATTTATAATTATTAAGTGGTCATATAGATGGGGAAATTTTCAGCTTGAGAATACAGAGAGGGACAGAACTATAATGTCTACAAGGCTTGGTTAACAGATACCTTGTTTGGTTAATGTGTTAAATATAAGCATAGGAAAGTAAATTTTAACCAATAAATTAGGGACATTTTTATTTGAAAACAAAAGAAAGCAGAGTTCTTGTAGATCGTTTATCTGGCAGTTTTAGGTTTGCTAGGTCTCTGGAAAGTGTTGTTGAGAAGAATTATTCAGATAAGCTGCTCAGAGGAGGAGCCCATAGGTGATGTTGAAGGGACCAGCTCCACATTTCAGCAGCCATAACAGCCTAGCAAGTGCTTGCCTGACCTTGCCTTAGTCACTAGGAGGTCAGATGCCTGCCCATTCCGTCAGCCATGACAGTAACACATGTTTGCCTGACCTTGCCTTGGTCACTAAGAGGTCAGATGCCTGCCCCGTGGCAAGGAACCAATCAGAAGTTAGCTGGTGGCGCTATGCTTTATGGCTCTGGGTGTGCTTTACAGACAAGTGCACAGTAATGACGTGTAGAACATAGCAATTGCCCTGGGAGGGCCTATGGGCCATAACAACCAGTTGACCAATCAACACATGGCAAGCCTGGAGGCACACCCATCCTGAGCCTGTGCATACCCCTAGACACTCCCCTTATGCTGCCCTATAAGATCTCTATGCAGTGGCTTCGCAGCATCTTTCCTAGTCATCCACCTTAGTAGATGGATGAAAGGCCCGAGCTAACATGGGGTTAGTTCGTTAAACAACTTTAATAAAGCCTCGTGCTGTTTGCATCAAGCTTTCACCTCCACATGGTGATTGGGGTGGCCGAGGTCCTGGACCGAAATCCTGGAGGCCTGAGCCTCCAGGGGGTCTTACAATGTCACCTGCATTTTAAACCCCACGTTGCCCACAGTCTTTGTTACATGCCACATGACTCATGGCCTGAGACGTGTGTGGCTAATGTATCTTTCGTTACAAATTCATGGATTACAGAGGAGCTGATGCTTCTTGTGACTCACAGGTCATTCCTCACCCTGGTGTGGTCACCTACCAGATTCACCTTGTCCAAGGGCATTGATTTGCACCAGTGAAACAAGCCACTGCTGTCCAGCTGCTCAGAGTCATTCACTGTGTCACTTATTGTATTCCTGTGCAGAGAGAATAGAGAGTCAGTCTGAGAAAGTTCAGGCTAGTATAATAACACCAAGTCATTTGTTTTCACAGCCACATCAAAGAATGGGGAAAGCTAGTGAAATAGAGTGGCTAAAACTACACTTAGGGGTTTTTTGTGGCTCTGGCTTGCCCATAGCAAGACAACCCTTTATCCTAGAGAGAACCTGGGAAAGAATCCATGAAGACCCAGCCATGGCTGCATCTCATTATGCATCACCACATGTGTGGTCTCTCACGTGGAAATCATGCTTCCTAGGAACCTTCTAGCGGGACTGTAACCAGGATGCATGCAGTCATACACATGCATGCATAATACCAAAAGCCAAGAATGTGCTCTTGAGAGAACAGGGACCACATTTCCCCTGGTCTTGTCCATATCACCCTTTTCCTACCTCTCCAAACCCCTCCTCTCCCATGAGGCTTTCTGGAGGAAGAGGTGCGGTGTCACCTCTTCCTGTGACGTTTCTGCTGGACCCTTCAGTGAGCACCTGAAGAGATGCTTCCTCACTTGGCCTTTGATTTATTCCTTCATCTTGTTTATCCAATGGGGTTGCTTATAGTGTGCTTCCTATATCCAGACAGGATGCCAGAGAGTTCTCTACAAACACCTGTTTACCAGCTATTCTTAAAGAGTAAAATACCCACATCCCAATGGTATTCTGTAGCTGTTTTGGTTGTTGGAAACAGTGATGCCAAACCTGAATGCCTGAAATGTCCCAGTACCTTTCCATCATCTAATCCTTGGTCCTTCCTCACTGATTATGTCATCTGGTTTCAGAAAAATCCTAGACTAGAAGGCAAGAAAGTTCCCACTGCCTTGCATTTCTCTTAGAAGATGGCATCCTTTGGCATCTGAGACATATGAAATCAGCCCCACCTTATTATTCATTCTCGTATTTTCCTAAGTATAAAACTAATTACTACACCAGGCCTGATGACACAAGCCAGTAATCGCAGATACTTGGGAGTCTAAGGCATTAGGAAGGCAAGTCCAACACCAGCCGGGAGAACTTATCGAGGCACTGTCTCAAATGTGTTTCTTTAAAAAGAGCCAGGAATATAGTGGTGGAGTACACAATACCCTGAGTTCCGGGCTGGAGAGATGGCTCAGCGGTTAAGAGCACTGACTGTTCTTCCAGAGGTCCTGAGTTCAATTCCCGGCAACCACATGGTGGCTCACAACCACCTTGAATGAGATCTGGTGCCTCTGCTGGCATGCGGGCAGAAGACTGTATACATAATAAATAAATAAAATTTAAAAAAAAAAAGACCCTGAGTTCCACCCCTGGTACCACAAAGGAAAAAATATATTATAACATGTCTTCTATTGCTACAACAAAATACCATGACCAAAAAGCAGACTGGGGAGGAAAGGTTTATTTGGTTTACACTTCAACATTGCTGTTCATCACTGAAGAAAGTCAGGACAACTCAAAAAAAGGCAGGATCCTAGAGGAAGGAGCTGATGCAGAGATCATGTGGGGAGCTGCTTACTGGCTTGCTTCCCATGGCTTGCTCAACCCACCTTCTTATAGTACCCAGGACCACCAGCCCAGGGATAGAACCACCCACCAGGGCTTGGTCCTCCCCCACTGATCACTAAAGAAAATGTCTTACAGCTGGGTCTCAAGCAGGCATTTCCTCAGCTGAGGTTCCTTCCTCTGATGACTCTAGCTTGTGTAGAGTTGACACACAAAACCACCAAGTACACAACACTAAGGAATTGAGAATTGTACTTGTGTGTTGTTTTCTTGTTTCTGTTGTACACTTGGCCAGCACCTCCTTATCTGCCATAGCCCAATGGCTGGCAAACACCTTCCGGTTTCCCATAAGATCTGCTTTAGGTTTGATGTGTACGTGAGCATTCGTTGCTCTGCCCTTGACTTCCTGCACACCATACCTCCTTGAGGTGCCTCCATCCCCCCCAGGCAAAGGGCAGGATTGCCTTCTTTATAAAATGTGGAGCTCCCTGGGTGCGCTGGCACACACCTTTAATTGCAGCACTTGGGGGGTGGGCAGAGGCAAGCAGATCTCTGTGAGTTCAGGGCCACTCTGGTCTACATACTGAGTTCCAGGAGAGTCAAAGCTACATAGAGAAACCCTGTCTCAAAAAACAAAAGCCAAAACCAGCCAAACAAAAAAACAACAAAAATGTATGAATCTGTTCTAGTGTGGATGTATAAAGATATATATCACATTTTCTTTGTCTTTTCATCTTTTACCACAGGCCCCACAGCTTGCCTGTTGTGATGAAAGCTGCAACCAAAGGGCAAGTTTATGAATCCTTTTAAGATACTAATTTCATTCCCTTAGCTAAATATTCAGAAACTGAATTATTGGATCACATGTTTGGTGATTTGAAAGAAAATGGCCCCCTAAAGGGAGTGGCACTGTTTAGAGGTGTGGCCTTGTTGGTGTAGGTGTGGTCTTGTTGGCAAACTGTGTCACTGTGGGGGAAAGCTTTGAGATCTCAGTCAACTTTCTGCTGCCTTCTGGTCCTACATGCTGTCGTGCTCTCTGTCATGATGATAATGGACTGAACCTCTGAAATTGTAAGTTAAATGTTTTCTTTGTAAGAGTTACCATAGTTATGTTGTCTATTCACAGCAATAAAAAAAACCCTAAGACACATGTATATTTTATTTTTTTGAGAAACTTTCATACAGTTTTATATGAAGGTTATAAGAGTGAAGTTCTTGTATAGTTAATGTCATTCAGTCATTAAAAAAGCCTCCATGGGGGGCTGGAGAGATGGCTCAGTGGTTAGGAGCACTGGCTGCTCTTCCAGAGGTCCTGAGTTCAATTCCCAGCAACCACATGGTGGTTCACAACCATCCATAATGAGATCTGGTGCCCTCTTCTGGCCTGCAGAAAGACATGTACACAGAACACTGTACACATAATAAATACCTAAATCTTAAAAAAAAAGTCTGCCATGTTGGTCATATTATATAATGTCATCATAATAGTTTGTGTTCCATTGATAATATATTTACCTTTAGGTAATCACAATTTTCAATCTTCCTAGATTATTATTCTTACTAAATTGAAAGATTGCCTACATATTACATAGATGTTTTCACTAAAATTAAGAATGATAAATATTTTAGATTGACCTGATTTTTTAGAATTAATTAAGAAAGTCATTCTCTATCTTGCTTTCTGGGTAGTTATTTATTTTTTTATTTTATTTTATTTTATTTTGTTCTTGAGACTGGGTCTCATGTAGTCAGGTTGGCTTTAATCACACTTGTTGTATAGGCAAGTACTAGGATTACAAGTGAATGCCAAGTGGTCTAGTTTTATGTGGTGCTAGAAACCAAGCGCAGGTTTTTGTGCATGCTAGCGCAATCTACCAGCTCAGCTGCATCTTCAACTCCAGGAAGTAATTATAATATACTGAAGAGCTGGAGAGGAAAAGAACTGGAGAGGGAGAATTCTTTGGTCTCATTTTGCAGATTTAAACAGTTAGGCAATCTCATCTGGGTGTAGTGGCACACGTCTTTAACCACAGCACTCGAGAGGCAGAGGCAGGTGGATCTTTAGAGTTTTAGGCCAGCCTGATCTGCAGAGCAAGTTCCAGGATAACCAAGGCTACATAGTGAGACTCTGTCTCAAAAAGACAAAACAACAACAAACCAAAAAAAAAAGTCAATCTCATCAATTTTTAATAACGAAAAGCTATTTGGGGTTAGCTAAAAAATTAGCTCCTTTATTTATAGAGTACCTGAAAGGTGACCTGAAAGAAAATTGGGTGCTCAGCATTATCAGTGGCACAGAGATCTGAGCAATGGCGGGAAAGAGTACGGGCTATGGGGCCAAAGTAGGGATGAATGTATTTAGTAAACAGTGATTCTGTTGGTCTACAGAGGTGCCAATAAACCAAATGTTTTTAATCTAAGTCAAGTTTTTAAAGCTGAGTGACGTTTAAGATACTGCCATTCTGTGGTTCTTACCTATTCTTAAGAATTGCGATGGTGAGCGAGCTCTCCCGTTCTCCTGAAATAAGATCCTGATTTTCTGAACTGCTGGTGGTTTTACTGCTGCTTTTCATCACCACGATGTCTGGTGCTGCAAGTGTACAGCAACCTCAGTGAGTCACATACCATCTGTCACCTCCTTACCAGGGTCTTTTTTTACCATTTCCATTGACCGAGTCATTCCCAGGCTCCTGCCTAGGAAGAGTCTGAGAATCTCTAGCTACTGCTACTCTGGAAAGAAGGATTACAGCAGTCTTTGGTTTCTATCTAGATCAGTGCTTCTCAACCTTCATAATACTCATATTTCATAATACCACCTCGTGTCATGGTGACCCCCAACCATAAAATTATTTTTGTTACTGCTTCGTAACTGTAATTTTGCTGCTGTTACAAATCATAAATATCTAATATGCAGGATATCTGATATGCAACTCCCAAGGGGGTCATGAGCAAAGGTTGAGGACTGCTGCCCTGGAGGATCAGAGTACACAGGCTGCAAATCTACTGTGAGAGTACATATCTCTGAGGCACTCCTGCACCTTCTCATGTCTTCCAAGGGGCAGAGGCTGAGTTACCTTAGGACCTGGAAACCCCGTCTTTCCTGCACACACCGGTCAGGCTCCAATTCACTGTAGTCAGAAGTCACTGGTTTATATGGTCTTCCCTTTGGGGGTACTATTATTACTAATCTAGACTTTTAAAAATCTTGATCTTCCAAGGGTATGTCTCAAACCTCTTGGGAATTTCTCCATATTGAAATAACATAGAAACTAATAATTTTCTCTTCTGCAAAAATGAGAATGAACACACCATGACTTTTAAAGATGTTCATAAGAACAAATGCAAGAATATTCGAAATCAGTAGATATTGAGCAATATTGAGATGCTGTAAGATGGGGAAAAATGATACATGAGACATGATTTCTTCCTGCACATACATACTGTTACTCAGCCATGCCAATCTCCTCCTGAAAATTCAGTTCAACTTCATTAATTTATGTTACTTGTCTTTCTGTCCATCTATCTGTCTATCTGCCTTTCTATGCTGATAGTGTACAAGTAATAATTTTCTCACATTTTTAGGACAGAAATGGTAAAATGGCTTCATGCATTTTTTTAAAAAAAGATTTATTTGTTATGCAATGGTTGCTGGGAATTGAACCTCAGGACTTCTGGAAAAACAGACAGTGCTCTTAACCCCTGAGCCATCTCTCCAGCCCATGGTTTCATTTTTTTCAAGGCAAACCATTAATATCATGACTGTTTAGTAGATTTTTCCAGTGGGTACCTTAAGGAAGATTTCTGTATAAACAATTGTGGTGGTTTCATTAAGAACAGCCCCCATAAATTCATAAATTTGAATGCTTGATCACCAGGGAGTAGCACTGTTAGGAGATGTGGCATTGTTGGATTAGTTGTGACTGTTTTGGAGGAAGTGTGTCACTGGGGGTGGGCTTTGAGGTTTCAAACGCTGAAGACAGACCCAGTGTTACTCTCTCTTCCTGCTGCCTGAAAATTCAGGTATAGAACTCTCAGTTACTTCTCCAGCACCATCTCTGCCTGTGTGCCACCATGCTTCCAACCATGATAATAGACTAAACCTCTAAACTATAAGCCAGCTCCAGTTAAAAGGGTTTTTGTTTGTTTGGTTTGGTTTGTTTGTTTGTTTGTTTTGTGTGTGTGTGTAGGAGTTGTTGTGGCTATGGTGTCTCTTCACAGCAACAAAACCCTAAGACATCAATTAAACTTCAAAAAACAAAAAACAAAAAACAAAACAAAAGATAAATAGATCCTAGACCTGTGAATACTGAAAGAAATTAAAGTCCCACCATTCATGACCAACATTTTAGTATCTTTCTTTTCTTCATTGAGAAATAGCTTTATAAGAGTTTCAAAAGAGAAAAATTGACTTTCCTAAAATACACGCATAATGGTTAATATTTCAATAGAACCTAGAATCGCCTAAGAAACATGGCTGCAGACATACCTGTGGGAATTCTATAGATTAAGTTAACTGAGATGGCAAGACCCACCTTAACTATGGGTGGCCCCAATCCATGGGCTGGGGTTGTAGACTAATTAAAAAGGAGAAAGCAAGCTGAATGGAAGCATCTATCACCTATTTCCTCACTATAAACATATAGTCAGCTCCCTCACCAGTCCCGCAGCCAAGACTTCCCCACCATGACGAACTGTATCCTTGAATGGTGACCCCAAATAAGCCCACCCTTCCTCCCTTCTTCCTCCCTCCTTCCTTCTTTCCCTCTCTCCCCACCCTCCTTCCTTCTGTTGCTTTTGTCATAGCAATGGGTTACTAACGGAAAACTGGTACCAAGAAGTTGAGTCATTGTTGGGATAAATCTGATCATGTGTGGTTTAGGCCTTTGGAATGAGTTTTTGGGAAGAATGTGGAAGATATTTTTAACTTTGGACTAGAAAAGCCCTTGAATACTGTAAGTATAGCTTAATGGGAACTTCTGGTGGGTAACTAGAAGACAAGAATACAGAGAAATATGGACAGTGCAGGCCAGATCATGTTTCAGAAGGAACACAGGCTCTAGAAGGGACTAGAACAAGGGCCACTCATGTGATATTTTGGCAAATAATCCAGCTACATTGGCTGCCTGTGTCCTGAAAACTTGAGAGAAGCAGAATAGGAAGTAAGGGACTAATTTGTTTGGTGGAAGAAATGTCAGGAGACTTGAGCATTCGGGCTATGTGATAGTTAGTGCTCACTGATCTCATGTAGGTCTACAACCAGAGAGGAGACACAATCAGAGAGAACAGACGTAGAACAGAGTGATGTTAAAGATGAGCACTTTGCCGAGGGAAAGAGCTCCAGAAATTTAAAGCTGCAGCCAGGCCGTGTGCCAGAAAGGCGGCAGCTGCTCTGCACTGAGATAATAGGAAAGCCTTGGAGATAAGACCCTACTCATCAAAGGCTCCAATGTATAAAAATGCTAATTCCTTTGAAAGGCCAGAGGGTCTCAACTGAGAATGCTACCAAGGGGATGCCCTGATCCTGGAGAACAGCTAGGAAAGTGTTTTCCCCGGGTCAGCATACAGAAGCTGATGCAACTGTGGTCCTGCATACGGTACTGGTTTTGTAGGCTGGAAAGATGCAAGATTGAGGGAGTTGTGGAGTCTTGTACTGTGGTTGCAGAGAGCTACTGAGGCCAGGCAAGGTGTAGCTCAGAGTCCCTGAAAGCATGCCCTGAAAGCCACTGTGTGTTTGGGGCTGCCCAAAATACCCACTCCTGTCACAATTGCTTGGGAATCTCACATGGAGATTTCCTTGAATCCTGTTACATGTTCTTTGAGGTTTTTTGTAGTTGTTGTTAAATGCTCTTAAATTATTTTCATGTAAGTATTTATCTCTCCTTTCATCTACTGGCCAGCTGGTAAATATATTCATGACAATTTTTAAATATAATTGCTTCATGTATTGTTTTACATCCTAAGACAGATCTAAATGACAAAACTCATAGCCCTTTCATTTATACATCTTCTAAAACTTATTGATCATTGCTGTTAACATGTGCCTAATTTTAAGATATGTGTGTGTGTGTGTGTATAGATAGACATGTATATATAAATATTTTAGGATGAATTTTGACTGCTAAATATGAGGGTATTTTTTCAAGGTTTTTATCTTGTTAAGCTGAGATAAAATAGAATACAAAAATTGGGGACTGAGATGATCGTTGGGGGAAAAGAGATGAGGAGTCTGGAGAGACAGAAGGCCCAGTGGTAAGAGTTTATGCTGCTCTTCAGGGGATCCAAGTTTGGTTCCCAGCACCCACATTAGGTAGCTCACAACTACCTGTAATGCCAGCTCCCAGGGCATCTGATGCTGTCCTCTGGCCTTCCACAGGCCCCTGCACACACATGGCATATACTCATACAGACACAGACCCATGCACATAAATAAGTTAAAATACATCTAAAAATATCAACTTGTTTAAAGATATACAAAGATATCTTATGATTTACAGGTGAGCCTAGTTTGCTTCATTACATTATAAATACAACTTCTCTTGCATAATATTTTTGGGACCACACCCTTTCTCTGTGTTTTCAGGTTTAGCATGTGTAACTCATTACTGGGCACTACCTTCTATGTGCTAGGCCCTCCCACGTCAATCAATAATTGAGACAATGCTCCACAGACCTGTCTACAGGCCAGTCTTATGGAGGTATTTCTCATTAATGATAATTCTAGTTTGGTCAAGTTGACATGAAACTAGCCAGCACATGCTGTTTCACTTCATATATATTTGTTTTGTTGAGAAAAAGGTGTCTCAAGAATTGTGTAGGCAAATAAAATGAAGGGAAAACATCAGATTGGAAAAAAAAAAGAGATTAGAAGTTTAATCTATAAAATGTATTTTGCCAGTCACATTTGGAATTGATCAAGTTTCTGTTTTAAAATACTGGAATTTTATCCAAAGACTATGGAAGTATCTAGAAAAGACTAACTTTTAAAGTAGAAGGGACAAACTTATCATGGACATTTAGGGTTAGTTTTTCTTTTCCTGCGTTAAAGTAGTAAGAGTTGCTAGTGAGGCATTGAGTTCAACTAGACAAAAGAGTATTGCATTCTCCTATCACTGTGTCAGAATGAGCTCCCCACTGTCCACAAGGGGAAAATATGCTCAAAGACTAGGCAGAAGGTAATAATTTTAAGGACAGTCTATCAGTTCATATGGGGTGGATTTCCAGGCTGAAATTGGGGAAATTGGCGTGCTGTAGGGAAAGCACAGTGGCTGGAAGTTGGCATGAATGTGATGGAGGTTAAAGATGCCATTTATTGGCTGTGTCACTAATTACTAAATCTCTTTGGAGTTCATTTTCCTGGCCTGGAAGGGAGTTGAACTGGGCAACCACAAAGGTGTTGTTGTTGTTTTACAGCTTTAAAAGATCAGTAATCAGGTCTCGGATCCCCAGTGGGAAGCACATGCCTTACTTTGGCCACGTTTAAATGGTCTTTATCTTCTTGGTGATGGAAACCTTTTTCCCCTCTTTGACCAGACCCCCAGAAAATAGGCTAATGGCAGAGATGATATGTAATTACCTGTGAGTTGTTCCTGGCTCCTGTTTTTGCAGACACACTGTTCGATTAGCTCAGGGCTGTGCACATCATAGTGACAGGTGGAACAATAAAAGAAAGCCCTAGACCAGGAGAGTAAATCCAAGAATGACTTAAGTGACAGTTAATACCAGGGAGACCTGATGCTGATGCCGGTTTACTCCTATTAGTTTCTACTTGGTCCGTAAATGAATTGCAAAGCAAATTACCTTTTGACAACTTTTGAGGATTCGGCAATAAAGAACCCGAGGGTATCCTTATTCAGCTTCACGTGCGCTGAGGGGTTTAGCAAAAGACTACTGGAAATGAAAGGATAAAGACAGTAAGTTCTCTGCTGATATCTGTAGCAACATTTGGTATATTGTGCTGCCATTAACAAGGGATTCTCTAAGTTGATGTATTAATAGAATTAAATCTATTTTATTTACTGCTAAACACAGTGGTTAAAGTGAATTTGCATACATTTAATCTGTTGTGTGATTGCTACTAAATAGCACCCAGGGAGGCAGTGTTATTTAGTAGCACTACTGAGCAGAGAGGAAACTCCTACTTTGGAATAGTCATGAATCTGAGATGGATTGACAAATCCAAGAGCTTGATGCCTTGTTGCCTTAGGCAACCATACAGAGGGGGCACGACCAAACAGTGGGCAGCCTTATGGAAATGGTGCCCATCCCTGAACCACCTGTCTTTAAAATGAACTACATCTAATAGGTCTGGAAAGTAGCTCAGTGGAGTAGCACTGGCCCTGCATACTCTGGGCCCAGGGTTGGGTCTTCGGAAAATAAAATGTTCTAGAACATTCTCTGATAGGAATGTAGGCCAGTGCCAGTCTGCTTGAGCAGCTGCGTCTCTGGAACCACAACCTCCTGGGTGCTTAGGTGGCAAGTCAATGCTACCATATTCAATTATAAATTCATAACTTACAAGCTCTTGAGAAATGCCAGTGGTCTGATAGTGTCCCCCTTGCTCTTTCATCTACTCTACCAACAAAGTCAAACTCCCCTCAACAACAGAAACCACAAACACCCCTGAAGCAATGAAAAGCTTTATCAGTACCAACAATTGTGGAAGAGGGACTTGTGCTGGATGGCGATCAGCATGAGATGCATCTTCACAAAGCAAAGCCTGGGGAGGAAACAAGGCGTTACCACGAGGAGAGACAAGCAGGAGGCCGGAGGCCGGGCCACGTGAACAGAACCCACCCTTGATGCTCCGTGCAGGGAAGAAAAGCAACTACTCAACAGAGAAAGCAACTCCTAAATATAGATTTCCACTTGGAATTGAATCCGCCTGACATAAATTTTAGCAAAAGTGCCCACTGGGATAGAGGTGGAACTGTCCCACATGTGCTATAAAGTGCTAGGATCTAGAGCAGCAGTTCTCGTCCTGTGGGTAATGACCCCTTTTGGGGGGTCGAATATCAGATATTCCGCATATCAGATTTCTACACTACGAATCATAAAAGTAGCAAAATTACAGTTATGAAGTAACAACAAAAAGAATTTTATGGTTGGTGGTGACCACAAGAGGAGGGACTGTGTTAAAGGTCACGGTGTAAGCCAAGTTGAGAACCACTGATCTAGAGGCTCTGACTAACTGTGCTCTTCCATCTCCAGAGTTTGTACTGGAGCCTGCCTACAGCGAGCCCTCCATCAGCAGTATGGGATGAGAGCATTGCAAGAAGAATGGGGAGAAGGCTTCACTTAACCTACCGGGAGACCTCAGGAAATGTCATCCCAACGAAGTCATCAGAGAGGTGCTGTGTCACAATTTTGTTCTTCAAGCTATTCAAGAAATATTTTTGCCAGGGATGTTTAGGAAAAACCTATAAAAATATTATACCATTTATAGAGTTACATCTATATAGGTACTTACACATACATACATGGACATACATTAATATGTACAGCATATTAATAAGAGAAACTGATGCCATGACATAGGTTGCATAGACTGCTAAGTACCAAATCAATTCCCACTGCATGTGTATCACAGAGAGGAGATACAGCCTAGTGTTCTTGTGGAACAACCTTAAAGGAGGATCTGAAACTCATCTGTTTTCAATGGAGTCCTGTAGGGGAAGCTGTAGCCACGCCTAGTTAGGGGCTGGCTACAGAGTCCAGGCTGATGTGGTCACCTGGCCACTCATCTTCTTCCCGGAAAGCATTGTGAAGGAGAATTCCTGCAAAGAAGCTGTGTCTGCAAAGGCTGGCTGACTAATGAAAATGTCATTGCCTGTGGAGAGTTTGGAAGATTGCAGGTCCAGAGCCTAATTACAATTTATCACAATCCCCCTAAAGAGTTATGCCTTACCTACCTCTGTCTGACCTAACTTCCTGATAAAAAAGTAAGAACCTTTGGAATGTACTAACTTAATAAAGCCCTATTCTCCACCAATCAAAGGGCTCAAAATGCCATCAGATAGTAGCCGAGGCCTGTGCCTGAGATTTCTCTGCCTGTCTGTAACTGTCTCTCATATGTATCTACCGATGTGCTTTTAAAACATCTTGACTCATGACTTTCTTTCTTTTTTGTTTTTGATGTATTTATTTATTATGTATACAGTGGTCTGTCTGCATGTTGTCTGCAGGCCGGAGGAGAGCACCAGATCTCATTACAGATGGTTGTGGTCCACCATGTAGTTGCTGGGAATTGAACTCAGGACCTTTGGAAGAACAAGCAGTACTCTTAACCACTGAGCCATTTCTCCAGCCCCGACTCGTGACTTTCTTTGTTCTGGTACTATGAATATTCATACTCCATAAAACTGCTTCCATATGGGGACAAGGGATTTGGGGTAACCTAAATCTGTGTTGCCAAGCACTAGTTATTCAAATTTGATTCCAGAATGAACTATTTTATTTCCTTTGAAGTAAGAGCATTTTTTAAGTTAACAACATCCAAGTTTCCTTGTCAGAATTAGAAGTATTTTCTCTGGCCTACTGCTAACCTTAGCACAGTAGCCTTACTGTTTTATGAGACCCAATAACATGGGAGGGACAATGTGGAATCTAAGTTGTCATTCTCTGGATACGATGGCTTAGGATTGACATTGAGCAATATTACTTTCAACTGAAAAATTGCATACCACAAAGCATATCTGTGGCTTCTACCACAGGTTTATAGAAATCCAAGATGATGTTGGTCAGGACTGATAGTAATGCAAAACCCAAGGCCAGCAGTAGGTCTTTAGAGAAATGAGAGATGAAAGGTGGCTTTTCTGTGGTGCTACAATGGAAGCCAGGACCTTGAATGTGCAACACCCTGCTTCTAAGCATCCTGAGCTCTAGAATAAACATTCTTAGCAAGGCTGAATGCCACCTAGGGGAGGTCACTGGAAACATCTCTGGGATTTTTTGTCTAAGGCAGCTCCTCATCTCCTCACATGCTTCCATGAGAGCCCTACAATGTCACATCCACAGAGTAGGACATAAGACAGAACATAGATGAAGATGGGAATTTCTAGATTGTCTAGAGCAACCCCTGCTATGGAGATAAGTGACCCCAGACACTCTCCTCAAACCATTCTTGGTTTGAAAATTGTCCTGTTAAAACCAGTCACCTATTCCTGATAATTTGGCACCCTTTCTTATTCCTTTCCTCCACACCGAGATCAAATGAATCTCTTGTCCTTTCTCAGTCTCTCAGCACTTGTCACAAGGAGGGCTCCTCCCTGCAGGATCTTCAGTAAAGGACAGCAGAGCCTGCCACCTAGACCCAGGAACATCTCATGGAAAACACACTTGATGGCTACCAGTAGGATTATAAAACAGCAGTCCTCTTTGTCCCTTATTTTGTCCCACACAAAGGATCTGTGTTCTAAGGTGGGAAGTGGTGGGTGGGTACCCAGCATCAGAAACATAAAGACTCTGGCTCCTGGTGAGCACCAGCTTACTATATAGACAACCTGGTTTGTTAGCACTTCCACCCCCACTGGGTACTTCCTGGAAACACCACTGAGAGGCAGCATGTGACTACTATTACATTTATGACCATTATTCCTGTTCCTGGTGGACCTTCCCTAAAGTCATCTAGAAATTAATTAGATTTTAGTTAGTATTTGTATCATTTCTATTTGGTTAATATAATTATTATTTTATTTACATTTAAATACTTCCCTGTTAAGAGCTAAGCTGTTTACATTTCTACACTTAATAACTTAAAGTACTTCTGAATTTATGAAAATATTTACATTTACAGTATCCTGCGGTATAGACAGAAAACAGAATTACAGCCTCCATTTTGCAGATTGATGCTGCAAATGTTTTAACCATGGCTTCTTCAAGGCCTGGGAAACACCTGGAGCTTGAATCCAAATCTTTCCATCCTTCCCTGCCAAGAGGCAAATCATATTTCTTGGAGACTTCTTGCATTCTTTGATATTTTTCCCATTGTGTGGGACATAGCCAAGACTCAATATCACTGTACAAAGTTACCTTTTGGTTTTGTTCAATAAACAGAGTCGTAAGAAAGGTGCACAGGCCTGGCACCGCACAGCCTTGGGCCATAAATCCAAGCTTTAGTTCTGCAAAGCAGATGATATTGTCTCCAGCACTCCAGTTCCAGGTGGGGATTTTTGACAGGAAAACCTATTTCATGGTAGAAAGTAAGTCAGGCATTAAGAATGCAGATACCACAAGAAACCTCTGGTGGGTGCACATTTCCGTCAAATCATTTTCTCTTCACTATGGAGAATAAAGGTAGCAGTGAAAGGACCAGCTCCCCGTTTTGGCAGCCATGACAGTCTAACACATGCTTGCATGACCTTACCTTGGTCACTAGGAGGTCAGATGCCTGCCTCCATGGCAAGGAATCAATCAGAAGTTAGCTGGTGGTGCTATGCTTTACGGCTCTGGGTGTGCTTTACAGACAAGTGCACAGCAATGATATGTAGAGCATAGCAATCGCCTTGGGAGGGCCTATGGGCCATAACAACCAGTTGACTAATCAATACAGGGCAAGTCCTTCAAACCTGGAGGCACACCAATCCTGAGCCTGTGTATACCTCTAGACACTGTCCTTATGCTACCCTATAAGATCTCTGTCCCATGGTTTCTCGGGGTCTTTTCCCCAGCCATCTGCCATGATGGATGGATGAAAGGCCTGAGCTAATGGAGTTAGCTCGTTAAACAACTGCAATAAAAGACTCATTGCTTTTGCATCAAAATGGGCCTCTTGGTGATTTAGGGGTACAGAATTTGGGCACAACAGCAGCAAGTCAATGGGCATGACTAGAGCACAGTGTGCATCTGAAAGTGTCAGTCTGCCTCCCATGCTGCCACTTTCCAAATGAGCAAACAAAAAAGCTGAAGTTGTAAAAATCAGGTCAAATGGCTGAACTCATTAATTCTCTCCCTTGTTTGGTCCCTAAGTGATCCAACATTTTAAAGAGACTCCAAATTTCATTTATTGCTGTTTTTTTTTTTAATTTGTAGATCTATAAGGAGACCTAAAGATGAGAAAACCCAATGCACTCAACTACCATGATACCTTGTTGTGGGACTGAAGGATCTGAATGATGACTCTGACCTGGGAATTGTAATTCTTGATAGAAAGCACCCTGAAAAAAAATCACAATATGCTCAAAAGTCATACTGGCTTTGTAATATAATCAATTCAGAATTATTTGTGAATAAGTGTGGGAGGGACTCAGCACATTACAAAATTCATTGTTAGCCTGTTTCTACATTCTGTGTTAATAGTTATTTTTTTCTTTTTTAAGATTTATTTATTTTTATTTTATGTATATGAGTGTTCCCTCAAAGGTATGTGGATGTACCACAAGGCCAGAAAAAGGTGTCTTTGTCCCTGGAACAGGAGTTGCAGGAACTGAACCTGACTGAGCCCTTCGAAAGTATAGTGAGTGCTCCTAACTGCTGAGCCACCTCTGGCGTCACTACATTGCTTTCTGAAAAGTATTTACAATGACATGGCCAGTGAAGCAACCTGCTTAAGTGACCAAGTAATCAAATCTACAGAAAGGCCAGGTTTTAGTATTTGAAAATGAATCCACTGACAAGGAAGAAATAAACCGTTTCACATATCTTAGCCTTGCACCTGATAGCTTGAAGTGGCTAATAGAATGTCTCATTTTCTAGGTTAAGAGCCTAAAATATATCTTCTGCTCAATGTAACATATATGATGTAACTCCTCAACTATTTCTTGCTCTGCATAGAGTCATCTTCAACCACACATATTTATTTTGCTCTGGGAACAGAGCCACCAAAATCATATTTTGAGTTTCTGTCACTACAAGCAAAGTTTCTGCTCACAGATACCTAATAGTTAAAGTTGGGAACACTAACTCCTTTCACCTTGAGAACACTTGCCAGGGTGCACAGACACATCAGACTCAACCATGTGTACTCTTTTCCTAGATCTACCAAAGAGAAATTCCAATAAATAAAGAAAATAAATAGGATTTGTGGAATATTCCTATACAGTGTGTGAATATATGTCACTATGACTGGGTTGATAAAGAAGCTGACTGGCCAATGGCTGGTCAAGTAGAGGTTAGGTGGGACTTGTAGACAAAAAAGAAAGCATGAAGAGGAAGAGGAGGAGTATCAGAATCACAAGGAGATACAGAGAAAAGGGGATGAACTTGCTGTACTGAGAAAAAGTACCAAGCCACATGGCAGAGCATAGATAAGAAATATGGATTAATTTAAAATGTAAGTGTTAGCTACTAACAAGCCTGAGCTATTGGCCGAGCATTTACATTTACAAGTACAGAGATGTGCTTATTTGGGAACTGGCTGGCAGGAAAGGAAAGTCTTACTACAAGGATTCTCAAAGGCCATCTTAGTTTTTGAACAGAGGAGGATCTTGCTCACCTTGAGATATAAATACCAACCTGGAGTTACAGCTGGGAATGTAGCTTGGTTGGTAGAGTTAACACATGATGTCCTGGGTTTGATCCTTACCACCATAAAAAGGGGGAGAGGGTGCTCGTATGCTTGCTTTTAAAATGTATAGAGCTCTTATCTATAGGAAACTGGGGGTAAATATGGAGAAAGTCATACATAATTAAGATGTCCTATTTCACTTCCCTTTGCATTCACTGTTTTGGGGTGCATGTGAGAAAAAAAACAGGCAGAAACCTGGCATATGATGAACCTAGTGAATTAGAGATGACATCTCTCCTCATTTAGTCTTATGTGATAAGCTTTGTTTTAGTGTATAAAGAAGAATACCATCAATGGAGTGTACAAGAACAAAACAGAGTAACACCAGCTTCTCACCTCATGATGTTTGAGTTGTCTTCAGCATGCAAGTCACTGCACAAAGGGTTGGCTAGAATCAGGCAAGCTTCTGCAGACTCCACCTATTCTTCAGATTAAACAGTGGCCGTCAGGTTAATGACAAGGGAAATACTCTAGTGCTCCCTCTTTGAGGATTTCTTATGATTTCATAAAACTATCACCAACAAGAAGCACATGTAAAAAGGAGTCATGGACCAGACGTCTCCATATCAAGACCACAGTACTGCAAATGCTGCCAGGGCTCTGAGGGCTGCAGCTGATGGACTATGGCACAGGGTTTCTTATAGAAACCAAAAGTTGCTTTGCAATGGGTACAGTTTCAAGTTGTACTTTCCTGTATTGTATATCACCATTACTTATGTCTGCCGAAGAACAATAAGACCTTTCCAGCAACTTCCAGTGCATTTATTCACTGTAAGGACACCAAACAATGGGAGAATTGGGAATATACTTGTCTACAGTAAAGAGTCACTTGATATTGGGGTTCTGAATCTTAAAGTGCCAGAAAACTGTAACTCCTACAGTAACAAATTATAGGGCAGACAAAGATTATGCTGAGTCTGCCATTTTCTGCTTGAGAGTCTACATTATCTCTATACACCAGTGGTTCTCAGTTCTTCCTACTGCTGCAACCCTTTAATACAGTTCATGTTGTATTGGAACTGGAGACCTTACTGAACCTCATACTATAGAATTATTCTCATTGCTATTTCATAACTGTAATTTTGCTGCTGTTATGAATCACAATGTAAATATCTGTGTTTTCCAATGGTCTTAGGCAACCCTTGTGAAAGGGTCATTTGATCCCCCCAAAGTAGTTGCAACCCACAGGTGGAGAACCACTACTATAGACTTTTGCATTAAACTAAAATATTCAGGTTTGTTACTTAGATACCAGGAAGCCAGTTTTTATCGAACACCAAACTTTACTATTCACTTGGCTATTGTTTATTATTTTTAGCCTTGGCCTAGCTGGTATTTCTACTATTTTTCTTAATGTTTATATTGTCAAAGGCATACCAATATTTAAGAAGGGAAGTTGATGAGAACCAGTGAACCCATGGTTAAGACCATGTTCAGCTATGCAGCCTCATGGGGGAGAAAAGTCATCAATGGAAGTCTTACCCAGCTGTGAACCTTGCAAGCTACAATAATAACTACCCTAGCAAATTATGTCCATAGATATAATAATGGCACAAATGCTATAGGATGAACCAACTCTGGTTGGATTTAGGGTCTGGGCATAGAAAGAAACTCGGGCCTGGTACTGTAAACCCAAACCCATTGCTGGGAAACTCATGGGGAGAATCTACTAATATTACTTTGATAAATGGACATACTTTCAAACCACCTTCTAAATACATTGTTTCTACATCCATAGATAAGTGTAGCTTCTCACTAGAGAAGCTTCTTTACATAGTGGACAGCAGTCAAAACAGAGAATAACAATTAATCAAAGTGCAGAAATTTGGTGTCTGTTAAGTGATTACCCACAAAGTGGACATTTGTATCACATCCCTTCCCTCCAAGGTTCAGAGAACATAGCCAAATTGTGCAGTAGAAAGATTCTTAGAAAGTTTGGGGACAAAACAGTGTACTCTGGACATGACAGGACTGTTGTACCTATGAACTCACAGAAGCCTTGCTTCCCTGTGTTAAGACCTGTACAAGATCAAGCCAGTCAACATTCCCAATGGACTGGGGAGGGGCATACAAGCCAATAGTTGAGGAGCTGCTGACAGTTAATGACTACTAGTGGAGGGAGTTAGTTTTTCTCAGAAGTGTGGTTCCTCGTAGGTTGACCATGCTCCAATAAGGAGTCTCATGCCCATGACCCACATGTATATGGGCATCACTAATCAAACTCAGTGGGTTAAAAAAAATAAAACAAGAGCCAGAAAACAAGACAGACAGATGGAGAAATACTAAGTTGGGTGGGGGTCATGGGGGGATCCAGAAGGAGTTGGATGGGGAGAGGAGTGAGTATAAGTAAAACAAGTGGTATGAATATACAAAATTCTCAAGGAAAAAATAAAGGATGGGGGAAGATTTCATCATAAACCGTGAAAATAAAAGTTTTTGAATTAAAAAGAATACACACTTTTATTATCTATAACTTTTTCCAAACCTCTTAAGTAGTATAATAAAATCTCAGAGAATTTGATGGAAGAAAAAGTTTAAAATAATATAGATCAACATTGAAGTCAACTTGCCATGAGTCAAGGATTTGAAAGCCAGTTATTATACTATATTTCTGATCAATGTTTAAAATTATGGAAGTTGTGTTTTTCTCCAGTCAAAGGACATGGACTAGCTTCTGATACAGCAACACAACCTGTTGTTTTCACTCCTGGTTTATGGAAGGAACAAACAGAGAAAGAGTTAGATCTTACTGCAACTCGCTTCAGATCCTCGAACTTCAGTGCAGAGCCACATACAAACGTTGTACAGGACAAGTAGCACTTCAGTAAAGTCTCCAGTTCCAAGGATGGGGGAGCCCTAGATGAAAGAGTTTGGTGGCAAAGACAGAAAACCAAAGCTTGGTTCTGCTTTGTAGTTGTTAGCTGACCTACTGCATTTACTAAATCCCTAATTCCATCAAAAACCATCTGTATTCTGCTATATATCTATATAGCTAGAGGATGTTGGCACAACTAACCTAATCCACAAATGGGTCTGTAGGTCAGGCCTGACCAATCTTAGTGACACAAAACCAAAACAATACAGAAACCACGAATCAAATAATGCCATGCAAAAATCAATCACTATGTAATGAAAACATTTCAATCACTCAGAGAGATACAGCATTTCAGGGCTGGAAAGATGGCACAGTAGAGTTAAGAGCATTGATTGCTCTTAGGGAGGACTAGATTTCAGTGCCTAGGACCTACATGAGGTGGCTCACAGCCACCTTCGAATTCCAGCTCCAGGTGAGCCAATGCCTTCCTCTGGCTTCAACAGGCACCTACACTCAAGTGCACATAACCACAAACATATAAACATAATTTAAAATATAATCTTAAGTATAAAAAGATATAGCATTTACAGGCATGATTTAACAAAATGGCTTCTAAATATATAAAGTGAATATAGACAGAGTGTGAGAATTGATCCTGTCACTGGCCTGAGCAATTTCAACACACCTGTAAATGATAATCAGCAAGTATTTTAAACATGGATTTAGTACTCATTAATTATTTAGTCAACATTTAGAAAACCTAATTTCTTTGAAGAGGGTAAAAATATTTAGTAAAATAGTACTTTACCACTCAAAAAAACTCATATTGCAAAAAGTAGGTACAGTGCTAGGAACAAAGGCATGCCCCACCATGCCTATCTCAAGGCATTAACTTTAAGTCTCTTAGTGAAAAAAGTGGGGAGGGGGGTTAAATCCAACTTGACTACAAAACTCAACTGCATTCTGAAAGAAGAACTCTAATCCTTCAAGAATTATTCAGAAAATAGAAAATTGGTTTCCAAATTTATTTTATGAAGCAAGTATTACACTGATAGCAAAATCACATAAAGACACAACAAAAAAGCTATCTCCCTGGTGAAAAGAGAAAGAAAAATTCTCAATAAAATACTTGCAAACCTAATTCAAGAACACATCAAAAAAGATCACTCACCATAATCAAGTTGACTTCATTGCAGGGATGTAGGAATCCTTCAACATATGTAAATCAATTTGCTTACTTCAGTACATCAATGGACTCAATTGCAGAAATCATATAATTTGACAAAACCCAATATCCTTTCATGATAGAAGTCCTGGGGAGATTAGGGATTGGGCCATGTCTCAACATAACAAAAGCTAGATATGATACGACTATAGCCAACATCACGCTAACACAACAAACCTACAGCCAGCATCATGTTAATTACAGAAATGGCCAGAGCATCACCACTAAAATCAGACGATGTCTACTCTTCCACTCCTACCTAAAGTCTCAGCTAGACCAAGAAGACAGAAGAGGAACTAAAAGGAATACAATCAGGAGAAGAAGTCAAAGAATCCCAGTTTGCAGGTGATATTATGGTGTATTTAAGAGTCCCTAAAGACCCCACCAGAAAACCTCAAACTGGTGAACCCTTTCAGCAATGTGGCAGGGCACAAAATTCACACACACACACACACACACACACACACACACACACAGTAGCCTTTCTATATGTCAATGACAAATACACTAAACAAGAAATCAGGGACACAACCCCATTTCACAATATCCTCCAAAACAAACAAACAAACAAAAAAGGTTGGCATAAACCTGACCAAGGTCAGCAAAGATTACTACAAGGACAATTTTAAAGCACTGAAGAAGAAAATTGAGGAAAAAACTAAATCCATGTTCATGGGTGTGAAGAATTAAGATTTCCAAAATGACTATCTTAGGCCAGGCATGGTAGTGCACACCTTTCTTTAGTCCTAGCACTTTGGAGACAGTGGCAGGCAGATCTCTGAGATAAAGGCCAGCCTGGACTACAGTGAGTTCCAGGACAGTGAGGGCTCCATAGTGAAGCCCATCTCAACAAATATAAACAATTAAATAAAATGGCTATCCCACCAAAGGCAATTTACAGATTCAGTATTATCTCCATCAAACTTATTATCTCCATCAAACTTCCAGCACCATTCTCCACAGGAGGAAAAGAAAGGAATCTTAGATTTCTTATCAAAACACAAAGATTCTAGATTGCCAAAGCAATCTTGAACAAAAATAATAATGAAGTTTCACTATGTGTGATTTCAAGTTATACTATAGAGTTATAGCAATAAAAACACTGATACACAGGTGTGGACTACCTCTCTTTAAGACATTGATCAAAAGGATCCCATAGACTTCCAAAAGTATACAGACAAATGCCATTGTTCTTGGTTACTCACTAGAACTGAAGGTAAGACCCTATTGCTGAAGACACCACACACCTGAGTCATGAGACATGGACAAATCAAGCCAGTCCTGAATTGGAAGCTTCATCCCTACTGCTACCTTTCATAGTACGTAAGTGTCCAGTAACTAAGTCACATGAATAATGTCAGCAGATATGCACAAAAGCATCTGGAAAGATAGATTCCAAAATTTTTGCACTGGTTAGGTCTGAACATGAAGTTGCTTTTCTTTTTCTACACTTGATCTTAAAGTAATTCCTTTTCTATTTTGTTTACTGTTGTTTCCCAAAATTTCTATAAATGTTACAAGTGTAATTTTCTTCCTTTAAAAACTAAATGAATATTTTAAGTATTCATTTGGAACCCATTGAGCCATATTGATGTGCTTACTCTCCGAGGAACACAACCTCCGTGTTGATTACTCCTGACTTATGGCGGAGAAAGTTCCTCAGAAAGGCAGTCACACTGTCAACCGTGATGTTTCCACAGACCACAATGAACCTAGGCAGCAAGACAGGGGAAGAGGCACATCTGAGGAACAAAGGAACTGCTCTCCCATGGTATCTGAGGAAATGGACCTCACCCCCCACAAATAATCAAAACCTACAGATACTCAATGTCCTTATTCAAAATGGCATGAACTTGTGTGTGCCTACACACATCCCCAGCCTACTTTAAGTCATCTCAAGGTTACTTGTAAAATGTAATACAATGTAAATGTAATGTGAGTGGTTGTCACAGTGTTGTTCATGGAATAATGACAAGGAAAACAGTCTATACAAGTTCAATAATGATGCAAATTGTTTTTAATATTTTCTATCTGAAGCTGGTTGAACTCCCAGAATCCGATACCTCTGACTATATCTTCCTGTCAAACTTACAGAAGGGCAATTAGCTCAAACTTGTTTTCAGTAACTTTTGTCTAGGAATCCTTTGTTTAGATTTTAGCAATATAAAAATGAAGAGTTCAAAGCGCAAAGGGAGCATCCAGTTCTGTAGTCTTTTGCCTCATCTCAAAACATGCATGTCTCCTAACAGTTGCACTATACTAAGATTTCTAAGCTAACATTATTGTTACAATTGACATAGTGATTTTCTACCCCCTATGCTTGCAAAACTCTAGTATTCACAAGTGTTGTTATTTGGGGGACTATCTCTCCTCTCTCTTATTTAGTTGACCTAAGTTGACTAAATACTCCTACGGATAGATCTATATGATAATTTGTATCAAGTAGCTAAAATCCTGTTTATATGGCATTCATTCTAACACTGTTCTCTTCCGTGAATGAAAAACTTTGGCAATGTGTTCCCTCAAGTCTGTAATTATGGCATGCAGTGTGTGTCTAGAACAAGGTATGTTGCCAACAGAATGTCAACTATAGGAATTATATGGAAAAGCTAATTACTTCTTTCCTTTGACTGCTTCATAGGGCTTGGTATACTTCTTCTTGTTATTAAGAAGCTCCACCATTTCTGGGATGTAGTTTGCAAATAGTATCTAAAATAATAAGTAAAAAGAAAAATTCCTCAGGGCTCATTGCTCATAGCCTAAATTACAAGGCTATACAGAAAAAGACAAGTACACATAAATGTCTATTATCTAGCACAGTGGTTTTCAACCTTCCTACTCCTTCGACCCTTTAACACAGTTCCTCATGTTGTGGTGACCCCAAACCATAACATTAATTTTGTTAACTAACCATTGGGCCAAGCTCCTGGAGTACAATCGAAGTGAGGGAGGATCAATAATATAAACAAAGGAGTCAAGACCATGATGGGGAAACCCACAGAATCAGCTGACCTGAGCTAGTGAGAGATCACTGACTCCAGATGGGGAACCTGCATAAGACCAAACTAGACTCTCTCAATATAGGTGACAGTGGTGCAACTGGGACAATGTATGAGGCCGCTGGCAGTGTGGGTCCAAGATCTAGCTCTATATGGAGAGATACCTTGCTGAGCCTAGACACAGGGGGTAGGAAGTAGGGAGATGCCTTTGTCCTGCCTAATGAGATGATGGGACAGACTTAGTAGACTTACTATGGAAGGTCTTACCCTCTCCAAGGAGCAGATGGGAGGTGGGATGGGGGAAAAGTAAGGGGAGTGGGAGGAGAGGAGTGAGGGGGAGCTGGAATTGGAATGTAAAAAATAAATGAATAAAAAATTATTTTTTGTTGTCACTTCATAACTGTAATTTTGCTACTGTTATGAATTGTAATGTGAATATTTTTGGAGCTCACCCCTGGAAACCAAGCAGTTGCACTCCAGGGTTCAGGGTACACAGTTTGGAAAATGTAGGATCTGTGTATCTTTTCATTTTCATATACACTGAATAAAGCAACCTTCACTTTCAAATCTATATTGGTTTCTTGTCATTAACTAAATGTTGTATTTTTATATTCAAGGTAATAAAAATACTCCTCACCAGACTTCCAAGGGTGAAGAAAACAATGAAAGTCCGTCCTAGGGATGTCTTGGCTACCACATCCCCAAAGCCAACAGTTGACATTGTTGCTGTTACCAGATAAATGGACTCAAAATATGACATATGCTGTGAATTTCTACCACTGAGCCAGGGATCACCAGAATTTTCTACCTGTCCAAAGAGAGATGGCAAAGGAAAGGTCTGTGAACAGAAGGGAGGGAGAAGGCAAACTCTACATCCATTTCCCTCCGTTCACTCCAAAGACAAGAGCAGGTGACCGACTGCAGCTACTAAGAGGGCCCTGCCAATTGTGGGTAGTGATCAGAAAGCCTTGTTCCCACAATTATCATCACCATTGACATCTGATGGAGGTTTGTGAAGTGCACTGAAATTTGGAACACCCTATGGGAGTTGCTGCTGCCTGCTTCCCTTGAGGCCCAGGACTGCATCCTGGAGCCAGGGGATCTCCAGCAATCACCATTCATTGTCATTTTCTAATATGGTGAAAATGAGGAAGCTGAGTCTGGGTTTCAGTGAGCCTAAGCACATGACCTTAATATCTAAGGAAAAGCAAACTTCCAAATTGATTCGAATGAGGTGGCACCAGTTTGCTCTTAGTCATGGAACTGCGAGGATGCTCACACTGGCAGATGCCATTAGGGACTGCAAGGATGCTCACACTGGTGGATGCCATTGGGGACTACAATGATCTACTTACCAGATGAAGGAATCCTGCAGCTGTGAACCAGGTACTGAGAACTATTGACAAGAGTTTGGAAAGCTTCACTGAATTACTAAAAGGACAAGGACAAAGAACTGTTAGGTCTCTGCAGACAGGTTCTCAGTCAACACAAACACATTGTCTCCAAGGGCCCAGCTTTCAGCTCATAACGTGGGCCACAGACTGGAAGGTAGAGCATCACCTGGGGCTCTGCCCTCACCTATCAGTCTGCATGGTTACCCGGCCTTTGTATCATTCATGTATGCATTAAGAGTCTGAGAAACATTGCTGGAAACTCACCCAGTATTGTGTATTTCTTCAAACACTACAGATTTTACTGTATCATCTATTAGCCTGGTGTGGCTTTTTGTTTTTGTTGTTGTTTTGTTTTTCAAGACAGGGTTTCTCTGTGTGCCTTTGGAGCCTGTCCTGGAAGTAGCTCTATAGACCACGCTGGCCTCAAACTCACAAAGATCCAATTGCCTCTGCCTCCTAAGTGCTGGGATTCAAGGCGTGAGCCACCACTGCCCGGCTAGCCTGGTGTTTTAAAATCATACATGTAATCAGTGCTCAATAAATATGTAAGGTTATATAACTTTGTCTCAAGTAGTGGAACAAAATGGCAGGAGTCCAGTGTGGATTTGTAAAAGAAAATGTGAGTGGATTACAGGAATACAATGTCATACAACATACCAGGATTGTTGAGGGAAAGATATCAGAGACACTTAAATCTGTCAAGGAAAGTCTAGAATTTAGCTGAAATAGCTTCGGTTTCTGACCTGGCCATTTGTCATATAAAAACACTCTTTCCCGTCTTGACTTCTTCACAATGCACGCTAAACACTGAGATGCACTTAAACTATAATGATGACATTTCTAATAAGAACGTAGCAGTGTGTTAAAAGAGATAGCTTGAACTTTTATTATTTTGGGGGGGGGGAGATATTTAAGCTGCACTATTTTTATTTACCTGTCATGCAGGGGTTTGAACACAGGACCCTGTATAAGCCACGTAAATGCTCTATTAAGCCATACCCAAAGCTCATGGCTCTACTTCTCTAAGCAATAGTTCACTGCTGCTGACAGATACAGCCCATGCTCAGGGGAACTGTTATACCTCTAAACCTGAAGAAATGTTTATTTTATTAGCCAATAAGAGACGATTCTTTTTTTTTTTTTTTGGTTTTTTTTTTTTTTGGTTTTTTGAGACAGGGTTTCTCTGTGGCTTTGGAGCCTGCCCTGGAACTAGCTCTTGTAGACCAGGCTGGCCTCGAACTCACAGAGATCCACCTGCCTCTGCCTCCCAAGTGCTGGGATTAAAGGTGTGTGCCACCAATGCCCTGCGAGGCGATTCTTTTTTTTTAATTGATTACCTTTGTTCTTTCATAGTTGTACACATGCATAAATAAAAAATGCATTCTGATTACTCTCTCCTGCAATCCTCACTTATCATCCTGTCTATTCCCACCCTACCAGTTCCTTTCCCAGATTCGTGACTCTTGGGTTTGGCCTTGTAATCCCCTTAATTTAACCAGAGCCATCTTCTGAGCAGTGGGTCTGTCCATTGGAACCTCGTGGGGTTACCGCTGGGCACACAACTGACTTTCTAGCCCTGTGAATTTATCAGTATATGATGGTTCATCAGTGAGGGGTAGTCCCCTTTGAGCCCCTCCCTATATCTATGCCTGATTGCATGGGTGTGTTCTTGTGAGATCACAGTCACAATGGCTGTGTCTTGCAGAGATGGCATTTGCAGCCTTTCTCCATGTCTTCTGCTTCTTTCATTAATTCTTTCTGCCTCCTCTTCCTCAGCATCCCCTGAAGCTTAGAGGGGATGGAATACTTGTCTTGTTTAGGGATGGGCACTCATATATCACTTATTATCAGCACTCTGTACAGCCTGAGTCTCTGCACTCACCCTGATCACAAAAAAAAAAAAATGGTGTCTCTGATTAAGGCTGAGAGTAGCATTTATCAATGGATATAAATGTAAGTGTTTAGAAGGCAGTTTTACGTTATGAATTATAAACAATAGTATTCTGCTCATGTGCCCTGTGCCCCCCCCCACCTTAGTGCCTCTGTATTTGTCAGGAGCCAGCTCTGGTCAGATATAAAAGTCTCCTTTACAAGAGGCTTGGCAACCTCCATGCTAAACCGCCAATTAGTCAAGCACCCCACCCCTTAGGTTAGTGGTCCAAGATAAACCACAAGAAAGTTCTGGGACACCTGCCCAGGCCTGAGAGCATTTAACACCCATTCCTCCCCCTCCATTACTTCCTCTTTCTTTACTTCCTCCTTTCTCTATAAAAACTCCTTGCTTAAGTTCAATAAACAGATCTTGACAACCATTGCTTGGTCTCACTCTTGCCCATTTATTTTCAGGCTTAGTCCCCCCCTCACGACCCACAAATTACCAGAACCCCGATGGACAGGGCAGGTGGCACCCAATGTGAGGCCCAAGGTACTGACTCTTTGCTGAACGGAGACCCCCGCCCCCAAGGAAAACCTTGGCAGTGCATGCTGACAAGGAAGTCCTGCTCGCCGATTGCGACGGACGTTGTACTGGGAACGTTCTCACCACTCATGAACAACTGATTCCCTGGTAAGTCCCTCTCATTCCGTTCCATAATAATGGGCCAAAAGTTGTCTAAGGAGGTCAAATTCATTGGGGATTTTAAGACTTCCTTTCGGGAAAGAGGAGTTCCGAGTTAAATATAAGGACTTAATTCAATTTTTTGCTTTTTTTGTCAAGAACATGTCCATGGGTCATTTTAGAAGGCCCAGACACATTCATCCCCTAACTTGGAAAAAGGTCGGAGAGGATCTTAATAGATTGCTCAAAGAAAAGGAACCTGAGGCAGTTCCCTTACAGACGATTAGTTATTGGAATCTTATTAATGATATCCTTACCAATTCCCCTGGCTCTGCTCACCTTACTTCTGCAATTAAAAACTTTCTTGAGCCCCTCTCCCGAGCTCATTCTCTCGCTTCTGATTGCCCCATAGACAAACTTCCATCCTCTCCCTGTCCTTCAATTTCCATCCCTATGCCCCCTGAAGAGACCCAAACCCCCCTGTCACATCTTACAAACCTCCGTTAAAACCTCACCATAATCTCTATCCCTCTTTTCAGGACCTCAAGCCTCATTCCCCTAAAAACCTTAAAAAGTATCGTCTTTTGTTCAAACCCCAAATCAGAAACCTATCACCTAAGTCCCTCAGACGAGGAGGACCTAGAAGAAGCAGCGGCTGCTTATCACAACCCCAACTGGCCTCCCTTCTTGGGCTTTACAGCCCCTACAGGGCCTCGGCCCTATTCCTCGGCTCCCCTTCTCCCATCTTCCACAGATGCCTTAATTCAAGCTAAAAAACTTCCCATCCAACAAATATCAGAACTTAAAGAGGTCTTACAATTACAGCAGTAGTTTTCACAGCTCTCTCTAGACCTCACATCCCTCCAGACCACAGTTGGCCGATCGATCTTCAGATTCCCCACCCAGCCCATTACAGCCCCTAAACCCTCCCTTCCACCAGGCGCTGGGCAAAAACCTCCAAATCCACTAAGCTGGCCTTTCCTGTCTTAACCTGCCAGGGCTCCGTACACCATCCTCCTCTGACCAAGACCCCTCCTCTATTCATACAACTAGGAAGGAGGACGAGGAGGAAAACTCAGAGGATGAAATTAATGAGAGGGATAAAAATGACTCTGAGTCAGATAATGAGGACCAAGATAAACAAACAGAAACAACCGAAAATACCTTTAAAAATTAAAATTTAAAGCCCTTAAGGAACTTAACTCAGCGGTCAAAAATTTCAGCCCCACAGCCAATCCCCTTCTTGCCAGCATTGGGGCCAAGCCTGCAGGCACAATCCTTCCAACCTGCGCCTCCAAGCTCTACAGAGCACCCACTGGACCTGTGTGCCGCCACCGACTCAGTACTAAACCCTGAGGACGGTGTACAGATTCTCTCCACAGGGATTTCTGGCCCACCACCCCCAGATACTTGTTTCCTCATTCTTGGTCGAGCCTCCTCTACCCCCAGGGCCAGGGGATCGTTGAGAGAGCTCACCAAACACTTAAAAACATGCTATTTAAACTATATTCAGGAGGAGGAATTCTATACCCCACTAAAGGCAATCATAAGAATCTACTCAATCTTGCATTGTTTGTGCTAAATTTCCTCACATATGATGCTACAGGAAAATCAGCCTCGGATCGCCTCTGGCCTCCATCAACGACTCAAAATTATGCTCAGGCTTTATGGAAAGATCCCCTAACTCACAAATGGCACGGACTAGACCCAGTCCTCATTTGGGGAAAAGGACATGCATGTATTTTGATACTCAGGCCAATAATGCTAGATGGTTGCCTGAACGCCTTTTAAAACTATATAATCCACCCAGGGAAGCCCCTGGGAAGTCTTCTAATTCTGCTTAATTTTAGATAAAAGATGCTGTCTTTTTGGCTACTTTTGTGTTTCTCACCTTCGATTGCTGTTGCCGCTGCAAGCCCCTATCAGATCTACAACTACACCTGGATGATCATCAACCAAGCTGGTGATATTGCCAATGCCTCTACATACATTGGACCTCAGCCCTCTTATTCCCCCCTGATAGTAGATCTTTGTGCCTTGGCTATGGGAGCTGACCCTCTCTGGGGAACTCCCTCCCATTTTATGCCACAACCTAGACTTGTTAATACCTCCACACCGTATGCAACCACCCTGAATCGCTATAATCAGTTCACTAGAAGTTATCTTACAATGTCACCTATATCCATCTGTCCTGTCTCTCACAGAGATCGCTCTCTAGAGGCACACTGTGGATTTGAGAATGATTACTACTACATTTGAGAATGATTATTACTACACCTCTTGGGGGTGTGAGACTGAAAGGCCCGCTGCCTCTCTGTCTCCCCCCGCCTATGCCGATGCTGGGTGTTCTCTCTGGAGCAGGCGGGATGGGCTGGGAAGAGCAGTTGACCGAGGGCAGCGTGGGACTGAGCAGGGCAGGGCTAGGATGCGGCCAGGGGCTGGAGAGTGCAGGGCGGGCAAACCTCCATGTCCGGGGGCTCGGCAAAAGATAAAGGCCGTTTCGCCTGACTATTACGGTGCCTTTTTCCCCTATAAAAGGACTCCCCTTCCGGGGCTCGGGGCTTAGCCTAACAAAAAGCTAAGTCCCCGGGTGCCCAGCACCATCAATAAAACCTCTTGCGGTTTTGCATCCAAATGTGGTCTCGCTGATTCCTGGGTGCGGGTCTCCTGCTACGAAAGTACCTCTTCTGAGGTCTTTCAAGACCACCAGAGATACATATTGGGAACTCTCTTCCAGTTGGGACCTTATTACAGTTAAGAGACTAGACCCCCCATCCCAAAACTTAATTCAGGGCCAACCCGCCTTAATTCCCGCTGGGCTCCCATTGGTGTAATCCTCTACAAATTACCTTTACTGATAAGGGGAAATCATCCTCCCTTTGGCAAGGGAGAGGTGCCCAATGGGGCCTTCGCCTCTACATTTCAGGCTGTGACACTGGCCTTACCATTAAGATCCAGTTGCTAAAAAACCTTCCTTTCACCAAGAAGGTAGCCATCAGACCCAACCCAGAGTTACATCCCAATAAGGGCACCAAGGGCTAACTTCCTCCACAGATACCCCCTAGCTCCATGGCCCATCTCTCTACTAAGTTTCAGCCAACCATCCCCCCAGGACCTCCCTCCTCCACTGACCTTATTCTCTCATTAGCTTCTCTTATTAATTTCCTTCGGGCCTTGGGCTTTTCAAAGATTAACCAGATTCATTAAGTCTCAGATTGACACCATCCTCGGAAAACCAGTTTCGGTTCATTATCATCGCCTGGAGGTACAAGACCCTGAGCTGCCTGACCATAATGAAAACCCCGACAATCTTCCGAATGGCCTAGACTTTTCGGGCCTTGAACATCGAACCTCTCGGTTCCCTTGGCCTTGGAAACGTCAATGACAGGATTATCGTGATGCTGCAGGCCAGAGGCCTACCCATCTCACCAGCTGACGGGATTAGCTTGAGTAGCTTGAGGCCGAGACCCCAGGGGCCCACTCCAAGCACTCTCAAGCTGCTAGCCTTATGAAAGGTCCCCTGAGTGCTGGGAGGCAGATCCACCTCATGTAGCCTAAGACAGAGGCTCTACCCCTCACTGTCATATATATGACAATATCATAAGCATAGGGTCCTGGCTGTGGATGCCCATCACATATCCTAAGACAGATGCTCCATACTATTATACATAGAAGGGGGAGATGTCAGGAGCCAGCCCTGGTCAGATATAAAAGTCTCCTTTACAAGAGGCTTGGCAACCTCCATGCTAAACCGCCAATTAGTCAAGCACCCCACCCCTTAGGTTAGTGGTCCAAGATAAACCACAAGAAAGTTCTGGGACACCTGCCCAGGCCTGAGAGCATTTAACACCCATTCCTCCCCCTCCATTACTTCCTCTTTCTTTACTTCCTCCTTTCTCTATAAAAACTCCTTGCTTAAGTTCAATAAACAGACCTTGACAACCATTGCTTGGTCTCACTCTTGCCCATTTATTTTCAGGCTTAGTCCCCCCCTCACGAGACCCACAAATTACCTGAACCCCATGGGCTGGGGCATGTATTGGATGACTACTTTTGTTTTGGATAGAGAGAGGGAGGGAGAGCACAGATGCTGAGGGATTCCCCGTTTTCACACTGAATTCTGGTGGGACATGGGGAGCTTGCAAATCTGTTAATGTTTTCATTTCCCAATCCAAACTGCCAAGCTAGCACACCCGGCTGTGCTGCAGTTACCTGCTCTTGATGACTTGGAGGATATGTAAGATTTTAGGGAGTTCGAGCAACCGCAGAGCTCTTAGAAACCTTAAACCTGCAAAGCAACCGGGAGAAAGCAGCCTGAAATATAATGAGGTTGGGATACACACACTTTACTTTCCTGACACCCTGAAATAGTACTCTAACTCTACTTTAGAATTTATAGGAAACTTTACTGGGTCCATTAAGCCCCTGATTATTCAACTTTTCAATACTCCTAGTTTTACTTTCTATCACTTGTTAACAATAGCAAGAAATAGAACTGGTATGTATTTTATAAACAATAAATAAAATATAAAATTTTATAAAAAACAATTTTTAAAACCTCGTGCGTTGCCAATACACCCACCTTAAAGACAAAACAACTAATGAACAATTTCCAGATGTTACAGCATATCTGATATGATAGTTGACCTTGAGAGAATCGAGGAGTCATTGTTTGAGTTCATATGAGACCCCAGCATAAGGGTCCATGGATGTCTTGCCCCCTCTCTTTGTAGATATAGTTACCCACTGAAAACTATTAGGCACCTGCTGTGTACTAGGTGCATTGCTACACACTGAGATCAAGAAATGATTTCTGATCATTCTGCTGGGAACACATCCCAGCATTCATGAGGCAGAGGCAGGTCTCTGTGAATTCAAGGCCAGCCAGAGAAATACAGTGAGATCCTACCTCAAAGTAAAACAAAACAAAACAAAAATGTTTCTGCAAATATAGTACAAAACTCTACAGTCAAGAGAGTATTGTGGTATTTTTTTTAAAAAGATAAATATACTAAATGAATGTTGAGTGGTTTGGAGTTATAACAACATTGATACTGATAACTGACTGCTACAGCACACTTACCTAGCCAATTACTCTTCAAATAATAAGAAATGAAGGTTGGTGGGATGGTAAAAATGTCTACAATTGAATTCATCTCCAACCAGAACTTGATCTTGTCGTCAGCTGCCCAAAACTGAAATGGAAATAAAACACCAAAATTATATTACCCTTGGGATTTTTTTAAGATTTTTAAATTATTTTATGTATATAAGTGTACGTGTATATATATGAGCCTGTATGTTTGTATGTGTACCAAGTGCAAGCCTGGTATCCACAGAGGCCAGAAGAAAGCATCAGATCCTTAGGATCTGAAATTACAGACAGTTGTGAGTTTGAGGCTACCTGGTCTCCTACCATGTAGGAGCAGGGAAGTGAATGCAGAGCCTCCTCTACAAAGCATCCAGTGATGAGCTATTCTCCATCCCATACCTACCATGGAGAATTTTAAAGTAACTGTTAGGGATGATAATAATTCAGCTATATCACATTCATTAACTGAAGTTTTAATCTCATGCTATTTAACACATATACAAATACATACATCTATGCAAATACGCAAATGTATACATATTACATAAAGAGATTGTACCTTGGGCTGAGCATGGTGATACACAGCTTTAATCCCAACACTTGGGAGGCAGAGGCAGGTGGATCTCTGTGAGTTTGAGGCTACCTGGTCTCAAACCCAGGTTCAGTTCCCAGCACCCATATGGTGACTCACAACCATCTCTAACTCCAGTTAGAGTTCCAAAGGCTAGCACGCCTTCTTCTGGCATCCATGGGTTTCATGGCCAAGTGGTGCACAGACATACATGAAGACACTTAAAGAGAAAACACCTCATGGACCCCATACTGATAGCTGGGAAACCAGCATGGGACTGTTCCAGACCCCCTGCATGTGGGTGTCAGTTAAGAGACCTGGGCAATCTATGGGGCCTCTGGCAGAGGATCAGTATTTATCCCTAGTATACGAATGGACTTTGAGAGCACTCTCCACATAGAGAGATACTCTCTCAGCCTAGACACATGGGGGAGGGTCTAGGCCCTGCTCCAAATGATATGACAGACTTTGAAGATCCCCTGTGGAAGGCCTTGCCCTCCCCGGGGAGCAGAAAGGGGATGAGATAAGGGATTGGGGGGGGGCAGGGGAGGAGGGGAGAGAGAGGGAACTGGGATTGACATGTAAAACAAGCTTGTTTCTAATTTAAATTATAAAAGGGGAAAAAAGGAAAGAAAAACACTTGAAAATAAATCAAAAATGCAAATATAAGATGGCACACATGCCACTAGTGTCACAATGGCATTCAAGGTCTACTAGCTTTTGACTGTCAGTAAAGCTTCCCCAGGGGAAGGCCAGAAGCCAGTAAGGACTGTAGACATGGTGTTTAACAATGGGATAGTTTTGGTTGGCTTGGAATTCTGGACCTGGTTTACACTTTCAAGCCCAGGAGATGCAGATTTTAGGTTTCATTAAATATTTAACAACTTAGGGCACAGATCTACCTTTAGAACCTGAGAACTGAGGGAGATTGAATAACCAAGGAACAAACTGGTCTCCTAACATTGCTTCTGTCTGCGTATGGGGGCAGTAGTTATTATCATTTTACCTAGGCACTTACCCTCAACCCAAAATAGAAACTAAAGAAAGCATTGAAACCCAAATCCACATTGATCGTTTTGTCTTCGTATGAAATACACGTTCCAATGGGGCTGGAAAGAAATGGGAACATTTTGCAAAGATGAACATTTTAAAACCTATGTCTACAGAGGAGAGAGAAAGGTGGGGTAGACAAAGTACAATGTGCAATATGATCTGTCCATTGAAGACTCCTGTTCACATCTGAATGGAATTCTCTTCCTTTGGGGGAGTGGAACTATGGACAAAGGAAGCCACTAGACCATACACGGAGGCAAGAGCAGTAGGAGGATGGCCCGGCACTCCACTTCAGATTTGTAAATGGGTATGTAGCCAAAGCCTCAGAAACTAGACCGCCCTTTGTGGCTGAAAAACTATCTATCTAGTCAGGGTTCTTCAGCTTTTCTACCCTTTGAGATCAAACGAGTGCATCTGAAACAAGTTCAAAGATGTATCCTAAAAGACATGTCAGTAATTTACAAAGCAAAGACTGCCATTTGCCCCGATTGTCTGAAGTAGCTTGGCCTTTCGTGGCCTGCGATTCTTACTTTTACCCCAGATGGGTATTTAATATAATTCTCAGAGGCTTGGCATGGAGTGTAAATTAGACTGGGTTTAGTTTTTGAAAAATATTGTTCTAGCCTTGAGATGTTTAAGAAGAGCATGACTTCAAAGAATCGATCCAAGGTTGAAGTTGTAAAACCACACAAAGGTCTTTGAAGCTTAAGAGAGGCTCTGAAATACCCCAGGACTTCTTTTTGAACTCTTGAGCAATTCAATAACCTTTGTAAGTGGCCCCATATGAGGAAGTGACAGCTGGAAGTTTAGAGTCCCAGCAGTACAACTGTATACCCCACCCCAACCCGAGCAATGGAGTAGGCAAAATACAGGGCAAATTGCATGTGCTTATCACAGAAGTAGAGTTAGTGTTCATGGGGGGGGGCAGCTACGTGGTTACCAGCTTGATTAGCTTCACACTGGTGGGGGGCGGGGTGTGGCTCTAGATGTGTGCACTCAAGCAAGCGAAACTCTATTTGACATCCCTGAAGAGAAATTCTAAAGCAATTAAGTTACTGATACAGCAGACAAGAATGGCTGGGCTTTTTACTCACTCTGTTGAATTGATGAAATAGATTACAAGAGAGCCGATGCTTAGTACAAAGACAAGGATCACCTAAAAGCAGGGAAGGACGGGGACATGATGCCATTTTATTGACATGGAATAAATAAGCCCACAAAATTGTGTTTTCTATTTTAAATGAAGTAAATATTATTGTGTATTTTTATTACTATGTGCAGGGAAGAGGGGAGGAAATGTGTTTTCCCCACTTCACCTATTCAACATTCATTTATGCCAGTATTCATTCATTCATTGAAGAAAAGTGGACAAAGCTTTACACTAAGCCAACCATGGACCCATTTTACTTAACTTGAGCTCTCACATGATTCAGAATAAGCAGGGGACCCTCCTTCCTGCTTCCCCTAGAGTTTAACAAATGCTTGCGGTGTGCTTATCATGTATCACGTGCTTCGTTTCATGATAGAAATGAGGGCTAATAAATAGCAATCCTGGACTTGAACTGCTGGTTGTGTGTCCCTAGGGACATTTTCCTGCCTGGGAAGATATGTGAGAAAGAAGGGAGCGCTTCTACTGTGCCCGTTTGTCTAGTGTGGGAAGCATACCCATCCCGTGGAACACAGCCAGAAAGCTGCTGCTTACTCAAGGCCTCCAGTGGATCTGGGTGAGATCTTTGGCAGCCTCTGTGATTTTTCTCAGGCCAGCTTTAGATAATTAAGCATCCCCCTAGTTGTCTCTAATTTCCAAACCACCAGGTTTTTGCCTGACACAATGGTTCACACCTTTGATCCCAGCACTCCGAAGGCAGAGGAAGGCGGATCTCTGTGAGTTTAAGGCCAGCTTGGTCTACAGAGAGAGGCCAGCAGGGGTACTTAGTGAGACACTGTCTGGAAAAACAGATTTTCAGTATGTTTAGTTCAATGTAGTTTTAATGATCAAATTCAGAATTTTATTTACTATGGAATTTTGCTTGGGTAGGCCTCTTAGGTTCTTTTCTCTTAACCATTTGTGTTTGTGTTGACAGGTGTTTTTTACTTTATCAATGGCTAGGCTCATTGTGGCTGTTTGGTAGGAGGCAAGGTGGTGTTTGTCTCACAAAGGGAACCTGGAATGTTAAGCAAGCACTGAGGGTTGTTCCTCCAGGGGAAGGAATGCAATGCTTGCTATTCACCCAGAAAGCTGGAAGTCGGTGCATCTGTGGCCAGAGACTTTTCCAGAACCAGATCCTTGCCAAACCCTTATCATAAATTTTCTCAAGGAATCTATAGAGACTATTTTTATGAACTTTACAAAGAGTTTTGATGTGGTTGCATCTGATCAGTATTTAGCTTACTTTATTTCTCAAGGAGATTTATGTCTTTTTGGTTGTACACATGGGACTGAATTAATCATCACCAGAATAATTTTCACCAAACTGTGCAGTGCTTAAATACGCCTAAAATAAACCACTTGGTGCGAAACTCCTAAAGGTTTAACCAACACCGGCTCCTGGAGAGGAACTTCCATCTTGCCTCTGTGGTCCCTCTCTCTGCAGCCATTAAGGCCACAGAACACCCCACCCCACCCCCACCCCTGGCAAGAATGCTCCTAACCTCACTGGTGTTTGATCATGACACCCATACCCAGGAGTGCCTCAGCATATAAGGTATTTAGTGTTTACTCTTGTATGGTGAGGTTTCGGGGTGGTGCACCGCCTGGTTGAATATCAGATAAGGCCGATTGATTAGAGCCTTGTGATTACAGAGGCATGGAATCCAGAGTGAAAGTGGTCTTAGGCATTAGCCTCTGCAGCTGACCTAACATCAGAGTCCAGTAAATCTTATTTAATGTATTAGCTGGGCAGATAACTTGCTTTCACCAACTAAAAGCTCAGATGTGACCTGAAACCAACCTAAAGCAAAGATGTCCCCACCAGTGTATTTGGGAAAAGCTTTGATTTATGACTGTTTTTTTAAATTCATTTTACATACCAACCACAGCTCCCCCTACCTCTCCTTCTTCACCTCCCGCCCCCCCCTATTCCCCCAACACACCCCTATCCACTTCTCAGAAAGGGTAAGGCCTCCCATGGGGAAAAGTCTGGAACACTCAGGTGAGGCAGGACCAAGCTCCCCTCCCCACCCTGCATCCCACCACATGGAATGGGCTTCAAAAAGCCAGCTCATGCACTAGGGAGAGCCTTACACACAGTGCTTGAATGTAGCTAAGACCACCATGGAAGAGAAGACACCTGTGTGGTAAGAGTACAGAGGGGATTGCAATCATGTTCACGGCTACAGTTCATTGGTATGAGAACAGTAAAAGTGAACTCACCAACATTTGCCCCACGAAGGTCTGTGCAGAAAGCAGCATTTCTATACGATTGCGAAATAATCTATAAGCGTGAAGTCTTCTTAAAGGGTTAAGCTCGAGTCTCCCTGATGTGAACAGTTCCTGTGAGCAAGAAAAGGGAATGACCAGTGAGCTTCAGCTCAAGAGAAAGAACTCCTCTTTAGATTGAAGGGGCTCTTGTCATGGTAATAGTTAGAAATCATTCTACCTTGCCCAACCCAGGCAATGAGCACTAAACATTTCCTGGAGCAGTCAACTAAAGGGGTTTCTAAATGCTCAGACTACACACACACACACACACACACACACACACACACACACACACCATAGGAATTCTTTCCCCAATAATTTTATAACAATGTTTAAAGTCTTGTCGTCAAAAGTTTTGTTTTGGCAGGGCAGTGGTGGTGGAGGCCAGTACTCGGGAGGCAGAGGCAGGCAGATCTCTGTGAGTTCGAGGCCAGGCTGGTCTACAAGAGCTAGTTCCAGGATAGCCTCCAAAGCCACAGAGAAACCCTGTCTCAAAAAAAAAAAAAAAAAGTTTTGTTTATTTTTAATTATGTCTGTGAGTGTTTTGCCTGAATGTAGTATCTGTGTAACATGTATGTGCCTGGTGCCCAGGGAAGCCAGAAGAGGGCATCAGATATCTTGAAACTGGAAATATAGACAGTTGTGAGTCTCCATGTGAGGTCTGGGAATTGAACCCAGGACCTTTGGAAGAGCAACCAGTTCTCTTCACCCCTGAACCATCCCTCCAGCCCTGTTTAAAGTCTTTAAAGTAGAAACAATTGCAGAGCAAACTGGCTTATCAATAATCTATGAGCTTCAATACTAGATGTTCTCAAATACAGAAATATAAAATCCATATTACAAATAACCTTAACTTTTTACTCTTATTTCAAACTATGTTATTTTATGCCACCATAACATTAAGAGATATATTTGAGCAAAATTTGCATATTAATTATGATAAACAAATAAAATATATTTTATTACCAAAAAACTACTATAATCTATTCCAGGAAGAAACAAAGTTGAAGAAATGAAAATGATCCAGGCATTAGTGGCGCACGCCTTTAATCCCAGCACTTGGGAGGCACAGACAGGTGGATCTCTGTGAGTTCAAGGCCAGCCTAGTCTACAGAGTGAGTTCCAGGACAGGTTCTAAAGCAATACAAAGAAACCCTGTCTCGAAGGGGAAAAAAAGGAATGAAAATGGAAACATACTACAAAGGGCTTGATAAAATTCTTCCACTGAGCTGATTGATTAATCCCAGCATACAGGAAGCAAAGGCAAATGAGTTAGAAGCCAGCCTGGTCTACATAGCAAATTCCAGGCCATCTAGGGCTACATTGTGAGACTCTGTCTCAAAACAAACAACAACAAAAAATACTACAGTCATGTTGATTTGAAGAGAAGTATTTCGAACTATTAATATGTCACCTTCATAAAGCATCATTTGTTCCTATTGTCATCATTTTTGCCAGCTAATTACATCAACCTTTGCAAAGTGAGTTAGACTACAAAAAATGCCTAGGTGTTTGGGGCTGGTGTAGGTTACACATAAAAACACAAAACACTTAAGTGTATACATACAGATGCATATGAATCGTGCACGAAGCATATTTGAAAGTCAGGCTGAATTTATGTCTTGTGCCTTTGTTGCTCCCCTATAGTAGCTAACAAAACTCACTCTTCTCTCTGAAACAGGGTCTCATGTAGCCTAGGCTGACCCCAAACTCACAACAATCTTCCTGACTCAAGGAATGGGATTAACCCATTAAGTACCACATTTGACGGTAACTGTCAATGTTTATGGACATTTTTTTGGAACAGAGACTCAGGTACACTCATCATCGTCCGTGCTCACCAAGCTGTATACTGGTGGTCTTGGGCCTTGTTTCCTGCCCTTTATGAAGCATCAGGCTCATTAGCCTGAAAATCAAGGAAAGCCTGAACTGTTTGCTAAACACAGACATATGCCAAACTTAGCTCCAATCTTCACATACAGATGTCCCAAGGAAGGAAACTGACCAAGACTATTCCTGTACATTTGATGGTTTGAAATCTTTTTGAGACTCTCAAGATTAATCTGAAAATGAATAAGATGATGAGTCCCCCGAAGAAAGTCACAAAGGAGGAGAGAATAAATGCTGCTTGGATTTCAATTGTGCAGAACTTTTCCTCCAATTCTTTCTCAGTTAACTCTCTTAACACTGCTTCAAACATCTTGAGACCACACTGTTGGGCTATTCTATGATGTCATGGTCACCTGGCAACAGTTCCAGGAGGTACACTTCCTTATATTGCATCATCTTAGGATTGGATGTAAAAGCCAATGAGAAGTTCGAGGGACAAGAATCCTCCAACCACTTTGGTGAATCCCAGACTGCACTTAACCGGTAGAAAATGGTAGGACTTACCAAGGGTAGTCAGTAGATGGGGATTCTAGACACCATTGCTACTTTATCTGTGACCTTGAGGAATTAAGGGACTGTGAGCAGCTAGCTACCCATTTCAATTGACTTGTTTAATCAAACAACTTCAAATTTTGTTTTTGGTGAAATACATCCGATGATCTCAAAACTGGCTCTGTATCTTTCTAAGGCAACATCACATTCTTGATAACTTCAGGAAAAAAGAAATTCTTAAGATTCAGATTTTGTTTATTCTTTTAGAAAGCTGTGAATAAACAGTAAATTAATCTAAATATCTAAGTTACAACATGTAGACGGCTTATAAATATTAAAATTTGTAAATTTTTCCTGAGAGAGTGCAAGAGTAGATTCTGGGTGTTCTGGACATGCATACATTGTGTCTCATGCACCCCCCCACACACACATAGTAACTATGAAATTGCAGGTGTGTTTCATTATAATTAACCATTTAAATATGCATACATTGTTGTGTGATATTTTGATTGTGTTCTGACAAAGTTTGCTTGGAGTAGAGCAAAGCTAGCCACTAGCTGACCAAAATTAACCATAGAGGTTTGGAGGACTGTAGACAGGAGACAGGAAGTAGTGAGGCAAGGCTGAGAGAGGATCTCCGCCCTTTTGGGCTCCAAATGCCACTGGACTTACCTGCCCACGACTGGCTGGCTGTGCCTTCAGAATGCTCCTGCCACATGCTCTCCTCAGACTACCGCCACACTAGGTAGCTGCCTTGATACTCCCTCAGGCTTCTATCGTTGCAACCGCCACACACTCTCAGCTCACACATGAGCAACTGCAGCCGCCCTCAGCCAGGCTGTGCACCATCTCTGTTCTCTGCCCAACAGTGCTATGCAGTGACAGCCAGCTGCACACTGTACTGTCATCATCATCAGATTTTTTTTTTGTAAGACAACTGGGAATTCTTTAAGGGGGAAATTAGTTTTTAAAGAAAAAAAACCTCTTTTTTTGGGAAAACAATATTCTGATGGAGGGAGTTAAGTCTCTACAATGGATGGTTTGAAAATGGAACATTTTTGTTTGGTTGGTTGGTTGGTTTTTCGAGACAGGGTTTCTCTGTGTAGCTTTTGGAGCCTATCCTGGCACTCACTCTGGAGACCAAGCTGGCCTCGAACTCGCAGAGATCCACCTGCCTCTGCCTCCCAAGTGCTGGGATTAAAGGCGTGCACCACCAACGCCAGCTGGAAAGTGGGACATTTTAAATGAAGAGATAAACTACTTAGCTGGGAATGATATAATGTCAGTCATAATGATTATCAGTTGATAATTCATATTTTACCCTTATAAATGGTTTCATAACAGTATCAAATAATAGAAATTGATAAGATACAAACTGTAGAAAACTTTCTAATGAAAGACCCCCCCAGAGGCTCAGGCCCCCAGGATCTCTGCCCAGGACCCTCGATGACCTCAATCACCAGGCAGAGTCGAAAGTTTGATGCAAACAGCACGAGGCTTTATTGTAGTTGTTTAACGAGCTAACCCCATGTTAGCTCGGGCCTTTCATCCATCCATCATGGCAGATGGCTAGGAAAGACACGGAGAAACTACGGCATAGAGATCTTATAGGGCAGCATAAAGGGAGTGTCTAGGGGTACACACAGGCTCAGGATGGATGTGCCTCCAGGCTTGGAGGACTTGCCCTGCGTTGATTGGTCAACTGGGTGCTATGGCCCATAGGCCCTCCCAGGGCAGTTGCTATGCTCTTCGCATCATTGTTGTGTACTTGTCTGTAAAGCACACCCAGAGCCGGAAAGCATAGCACCACCGGCTAACTTCTAATTGATTCCTTGCCATGGAGTCAGGCATCTGACCTCCTAGTGACCAAGGCAAGGTCAGGCAAGCACTTGCTAGGCTGTTATGTCTGCTGAAATGGGGAGCTGGTCCTTTCACTAGTCATAAGATACAGGCCTTAGAAAAGGTTACTACTAATGATATGCAAGCCCTACATCTAATTACTAAAGAAAATGATACAATTTTGACTGAAAAGTTACAAGCCTTAGAAAAACTTATTAAAACAGATAATAGAGATATTCACACAGAGACAAAGGACTTTAAAGGAGAATCAACCTCACCATTACATTATGAAATTAGAGAGAGGACAGGAAAAATAGCTCAGAGGTTAAGAGCTCTTCCAGAGGTCCTGAGTTCAATTCCCAGCAACTGACTCACAACTACCTATGCTGAGATCTGTTGCCCTCTTCTGGTGTGCAGTCAAACATGTAGACAGAATACTATATAGGTAATAAATAAACACCAACCTTAATTTATCTAGTTACCATATCCGAACAACTGACAAATGACAGGTATCCCCAAGGCTATAGAAGAGCTCACTGGGTTCCTGTGGAAATGTTAGATTTGAGGAAATTTAAGAATCGATAATTTCATGTGGTATGCATTCACCTTTTGTGAGGCAGATGTTAAATTCATGGGCAACTAGTAACAGAATTATCCCACAAGATTGGGAAGACTTGCTTACAGCAATATTGGAACCTGTTCCTCAATTACAGTGGAAGGTCTGGTGGAAAAATGAGGCTAGGACCATTGAACAACAAAGTAGGACTAGAGGTATTGAAATTCCCAAGACCAACTTCTTTGAGAGGACGATTGTACTGATATACAAAGACAGTTTATATATTGCCAGGGTCCATGCTTATTTTGGAAATCTATTTCACCCACCTGTGAATTCTGGAGAGCCCAGAACTTCTATTGTCTATTAGATGTAGGCTGATAGCCACTGGATGGCCTGGCCTTACAGGAGAATGGCTCCTTTTCTAAATAACAATATCCTTGGGCCAGGGTGAGTCTACACCCATCCTGAAGGCTAGTGAGACATGCTGGTGTGGGGTGCCTGAGGGCTTGAGTACATGCTACTTAGGAGTGTCTCTAGGATTAAGGGAAATATTTGCTATCAGTCCTTTAAACATAATAGATGTCTTCTGCCATTGCCCCCACCTTTGGATGGTTACGTAAGATGATTTATCAATAAATTGTGGCCTTCAGTATTAACTGTTTGCCCTCCTGATATGACCAGATGTCTCTGTCTGTTCTTTAACGCCGTTGGAGAGTTTAGCATATCCCGTGTCCACACTCCTCCACTCAGGGTCAGACCCAGGGTTATTTGACTGGTTCTGACTGCAGCCCCGAAGTCTGTGATAAATCGTGCCAAAAATGTGAGTCTGAGAACGGGGGACAGAAGTGATGGACACCATAGAGAAACAGACACCACAGGTGTACGGATCTGAAAAGCACAGGCAGAAAAAAGAAGTTCAGTGAGTGAATGACATTGAGTCAGGAGCATAGTTGTATCTAATTGTAGGAATGGGACACAGATAATTGTAGATACGAAGCAGGAAAATATTAGTGATGTTCGGTTAGTTAACCTTAAGAGTGAAAATGTGTATAACTGTAGAGATGGAACAGGAAAATGTCAGTCAGATGATAAAGAAATGAAATGTAGTGAGTTAGCCTCTGGAGTGAAAATGCAGGATGTGAAACAGAGAAATATTAGCCAAATGATAAAGAAGTGAGTGAGTTAACCTTGAGAATAAAAATATATATAATTAGAGATATGAGAGAGAATTATTAATCAGATGATTGTTTATTTACTCTGGTATATCTTAATATCCAGGAGAGATGGAGTGAAGCAGAAGCAAGTACAGAAATTTTTAGAGTTTGAAAATTTTGTTAACGATCCTTCCCCCTTACAGGAGTCACCGCAGCAGCTGTCTCAGAGCTGTGCCAGGGCTTGGGGAAGCAACGGTGCGACCTGCATATACACTAGGACAGCAGGAAGTATCTGCCCCTGAACTGGTTGGCAGTGTGATAGAGCCCTCCACGCCTTCAGAGGAGCTGCTAGATAAGGAAACACACACAGGGCAGCGTAATTGGGATGAGTATGAAGAGAGAGTTACTGAGTATTAGAATGGAGAGTCTTCACCTCCCTCATTTTTGACTAGGGATACAGAGAGGCAGAAACCTAGTGGTTAGATTCAGCTGGCGCTAAGAGCCTTGAAAGATTTAGTGGAATTGCTCTCACAGGAGATAAGAACTTTGCAAGTTTCCTCAGATCAGAGAAACATTCTTTTGCCTACTGCAGTAGCAAATATAGATCTGCCTAAGATGCAGGAAAACCTCAAGTCGTGGCAGACAGTTGCAGCGTTTCAGGTGTCTCCAAGCTAGTGTTAGAGAAGCGGCAGACAGAGGAGAAGTTGTACAGGGATTTCAGGCATTTCCTGAAATGGAGCATAGGGATGCTCAAGGGATCATAGGCAGGGTGCATATGCTGACACCACTTAAACAGTTCAAGGAACTAAAAAAACAGCTTGTGTCCAGTATGGACCAACAGCAGTTTTCACCCAGACGCTAAGAGAGAATATTGCTATAGAAGCTGTACCCTCAGGGGATTGGAAACAGATAGCCAAGGCCTGCCTATTAGGAGGGGACTATCTGTTGTGGAAAACAGAATTTGCAGAGCAATGACAGATTGTAGTTGAGAAAAATAGAGCTCAAAACCTTCCCGTTTCTTATGAGATGCTCACTGTTGAAGGAAAATACATGGATACAGATCATCAGTTAAATTTTGAGATAGCAATGTATACACAGATTGGCGCAGCTGCCAAAAGAGCCTGGAACAAGCTTCCAGCTGCTAGGGCACAGAATGAAGACTTAACAAAGATCAGGCAGGGACCCAATGAGTTGTTTCAGAATTTTGTCTCTAGGCTAATGCAGGCATCATCCAGAATAATGTTAAGATACAGAGGCTGGACTTTTGAT